GAGGTCAGACGTTTCTTGTAGTTGGCCACCAGGTTTGCACACATCTCAGGAGGGATTTTGTCCCACTCCTCTTTGCAGATTTTCTCCAAGTCATTAAGGTTTTGAGGCTGACGTATGGCAACTCGAACCTTCAGCTCCCTCCACAGATTTTCTATGGGATTAAGGTCTGGAGACTGGCTAGGCCACTCCAGGACCTTAATGTGCTTCTTCTTGAGCCACTCCTTTGTTGCCTTGGCCGTTTGTTTTGGGTCATTGTCATGCTGGAATACCCATCCACGGCCCATTTTCAATGCCCTGGCTGAGGGAAGGAGGTTCTCACCCAAGACTTGATGGTACATGGCCCCGTCCATCGTCCCTTTGATGCGGTGAAGTTGTCCTGTCCCCTTAGCAGAAAAACACCCCCAAAGCATAACGTTTCCACCTCCATGTTTGACGGTGGGGATGGTGTTCTTGGGGTCATAGGCAGCATTCCTCCTCCTCCAAACACGGCGAGTTGAGTTGATGCCAAAGAGCTCGATTTTGGTCTCATCTGACCACAACACTTACACCCAGTTCTCCTCTGAATCATTCAGATGTTCATTGGCAAACTTCAGATGGGCCTGTATATGTGCTTTCTTGAGCATGGGGACCTTGCGGGCGCTGCAGGATTTCAGTCCTTCACGGCGTAGTGTGTTACCAATTGTTTTCTCGGTAATTATGGTCTCAGCTGCCTTGAGATCATTGACAAGATCCTCCCGTGTAGTTCTGGGCTGATTCCTCACCGTTCTCATGATCATTGCAACTCCACGAGGTGCGATCTTGCATGGAGCCCCAGGCCGAGGGAGATTGACAGTTCTTTTGTGTTTCTTCCATTTGCGAATAATCGCACCAACTGTTGTCACCTTCTCACCAAGCTGCTTGGCGATGGTCTTGTAGCCCATTCCAGCCTTGTGTAGGTCTACAATCTTGTCCCTGACATCCTTGGAGAGCTCTTTGGTCTTGGCCATGGTGGAGAGTTTGGAATCTGATTGATTGATTGCTTCTGTGGACAGGTGTCTTTTATACAGGTAACAAACTGAGATTAGGAGCACTCCCTTTAAAAGTGTGCTCCTAATCTCAGCTCGTTACCTGTATAAAAGACACCTGGGAGCCAGAAATCTTTCTGATTGAGACGGGGTCAAATACTTATTTCCCTCATTAAAATGCAAATCAATTTATAACATTTTTGACATGCGTTTTTCTGGATTTTTTTGTTGTTATTCTGTCTCTCACTGTTCAAATAAACCTACCATTAAAATTATAGACTGATCATTTCTTTGCCAGTGGGCAAACGTACAAAATCAGCAGGGGATCAAATACTATTTTCCGTCACTGTATATACACATATGAGATGAGTATTGCAAGATATGTAAACATTATTAAAAGTGACTAGTGTTCCATTTCTTAAAGTGGCCAGTGATTTCTAGTCTGTCTATAGGCAGCAGCCAATAATGTGCTAGTGATGGCTATTTAACAACCTGATGGCCTTGAGATAGCTGTTTTTCAGTCTCTCGGTTCCAGCTTTGATGCACCTGTACTGACCTCACCTTCTGGATGATAGCGGTGTGAACAGGCAGTGGCTCAGGTGGTTAATGTCCTTGATATTTTTTGGCCTTCCTGTGACATCGGGTGCTGTAGGTGTCCTGGAGGGCGGGTAGTTTGCCCCCGGTAATGCGTTGGGCAGACAGCACCACCCTCTGGAGAGCCCTGCGTTTGCGGGCGGTGCAGTTGCCTTACCAGGCAGTGATACAGCCCGACAGGATGCTCTCAATTGTGCATCTGTAAAAGTTTGTTGCTTGGGCCAAGAAACACGAGCAATGGATAAATCTGTCCTTTGGTCTGATGAGTCCAAATTTGAGATTTTTGGTTCCAACCGCCGTGTCTTTGTGAGACGCAGAGTAGGTGAACGGATGATCTCCACATGTGTGGTTCCCACCGTGAAGCATGGAGGTGTGATGGTGCTTTGCTGGTGACACGGTCAGTGATTTGTAGAATTCAAGGCACACTTAACCAGCATGGCTACCACAGCATTCTGCAGCGATACGCCATCCAATCTGGTTTGTGCTTAGTGGAACTATCATTTGTTTTTCAACAGGACAATGACCCAACACACCTCCAGCCTGTGTAAGGACTATTTGAACAAAAAGGAGAGTGATGGAGCGCTGCATCAGATGACCTGTTCTCCACAATCACCCGACCTCAACCCAATTGAGATGTTTGGGATGAGTTGACCGCAGAGTGAAGGAGAAGCAGCCAACAAGTGCTCAGCATATGTGGGAACTCCTTCAAGACTGTTGGAAAAGCATTCCAAGTGACTACCTCATGAAGCTGGTTGAGAGAATGCAAAGCTGTCATCAAGGCAAAGGGTGGCTACTTTGAAGAATCTAAAATATATTTTGATTTGTTTAACACTTTTTTGGTTACTACATGATTCCATGTGTTATTTCATAGTTTTGATGTCTTCACTATTATTCTACAATGTAAAAAATAGTTAAAATAAAGAATGAGTAGGTGTGTCCAAACTTTTGACTGGTACTGTATGTCTGTCATTGAACATCCCATGCCATGATTAGATGGTGAAAAAAAACATACCAATATATTTCATAAGTTCTTTAAACAATAAAAAGGTAATTCACCAACATTTCTGAAAATGGATGTATAGCTTTTTGGAATTAAACTTCAATTGTAGGCCTGCAGTTAGTTATGGCTATCCACCGCCATCTTCTGGGGGAATAAGTATACTGTTCCTGAGTGTATCATCATGGATTATGGTTTAGGTGATCGCCTAATACTACATGCACCACACCACAATATAAATCAGTTGGTTCATTTTATTTGAGTGGATATCTGATTATTTTAAAACAAACCCTCTGTCTTAGTATTATGTGCAGTGCAGTCAATGTCCTTGAAATAATTTAACTTGTACAGTGGGGAGAACAAGTTTTCCTACTTACAGGTTTATTTGAACAGTGAAAAATCCAGAAAATCTCATTGTATGATTTTTAAGTAAATAATTAGCATTTTATTGCATGACATAAGTATTTGATACATCAGAAAAACAGAACTTAATATTTGGTACAGAAACCTTTGTTTGCAATTACAGAGATCATACGTTTCCTGTAGGTCTTGACCAGGTTTGCACACACTGCAGCAGGGATTTTGGCCCACTCCTCCATACAGACCTTCTCCAGATCCTTCAGGTTTTCGGGGCTATCGCTGGGCAATACGGACTTTCAGCTCCCTCCAAAGATTTATTGGGTTCAGGTCTGGAGACTGGCTAGGCCACTCCAGGACCTTGAGATGCTTCTTACGGAGCCACTCCTTAGTTGCCCTGGCTGTGTGTTTCGGGTCGTTGTCATGCTGGAAGACACAGCCACGACCCATCTTCAATGCTCTTACTGAGGGAAGGAGGTTGTTGGCCAAGATCTCGCGATACATGGCCCCATCCATCCTCCCCTCAATACGGTGCAGTCGTCCTGTCCCCTATGCAGAAAAGCATCCCCAAAGAATGATGTTTCCACCTCCATGCTTCACGGTTGGGATGATGTTCTTGGGGTTGTACTCATCCTTCTTCCTCCAAACACGGTGAGTGGAGTTTAGACCAAAAAGCTCTATTTTTGTCTCATCAGACCACATGACCTTCTCCCATTCCTCCTCTGGATCATCCAGATGGTCATTGGCAAACTTCAGACTGGCCTGGACATGCGCTGGCTTGAGCAGGGGGACCTTGCGTGCGCTGCAAGATTTTAATCCATGACGGCGTAGTGTGTTACTAATGGTTTTCTTTGAGACTGTGGTCCCAGCTCTCTTCAGGTCATTGACCAGGTCCTGCCGTGTAGTTCTGGGCTGATCCCTCACCTTCCTCATGATCATTGATGCCCCACGAGGTGAGATCTTGCATGGAGCCCCAGACCGAGGGTGATTGACCGTCATCTTGAACTTCTTCCATTTTCTAATAATTGCGCCAACAGTTGTTGCCTTCTCACCAAGCTGCTTGCCTATTGTCCTGTAGCCCATCCCAGCCTTGTGCAGGTCTACAATTTTATCCCTGATGTCCTTGCACAGCTTTCTGGTCTTGGCCATTGTGGAGAGGTTGGAGTCTGTTTGATTGAGTGTGTGGACAGGTGTCTTTTATACAGGTAACGAGTTCAAACAGGTGCAGTTAATACAGGTAATGAGTGGACAACAGGAGGGCTTCTTAAAGAAAAACGAACAGGTCTGTGAGAGCCGGAATTCTTACTGGTTGGTAGGCGATCAAATACTTATGTCATGCAATAAAAATGCAAATTAATTACTTAAAAATCATACAAATGTGATTTTCTGGATTTTTGTTTTAGATTTCGTCTCTCACAGTTGAAGTGTACCTATGATAAAAATTACAGACCTCTACATGCTTTGTAAGTAGGAAAACCTGCGAAATCGGCAGTGTATCAAATACTTGTTCTCCCCACTGTATGTTCAGCTACTGTTTTTAGTTATAGAAGGGTTAATGGTTTGGCATGCAGGGGTTAATCAGGGAAATATATTTTGAAGAGAAACCCTATGGACAAATGAAAAGTGAGAGGGGAATAGTTTATTGAAGAGAGATACAGACACAAATGAAGGAAATAACCACTGTTGTTGCAATTCAATTCCCCAATTACTTGTTATATCTATCTACATCCTCCCCTACAGACAATATATTTTCTTAACATTTGTTGATGTTCTGCTTGATATTGTATTATTTCCTTTCTACGATTAGCTTTGGCAAGACAGACTTGTAACTCATGCCACTGAGGCGGTCTAATTTCCAGATAGAGAAGTAGAGCGAGATAATAGAGACACAGAGTGCTAGATTGTAACAATGTCATTATAGTCAACAGTTACCTCAATTATTAATACCTATGTTTGTATGTGTATATACACAGCAGAAAACAGTTTCAGGACAGGCCCACATACATACACAATAACAAACTGACAGAAAACTTTAGATAAATCCACCTTAAGCTCTGGCACAGTGGCTGACTGGACTCAGGACTGATAGGTTTTACACATGGAGAGTTCTGAAGTGGCCTGAGATCTGTCATGAACATGGGGGGGGTGTGTTGAATCCAACCTGAGGAAAAGGCTAAATGGAAAATGTCACTATGTTCTCAGTCATACAGGGATATGTATATTCCCATAATTGTGGTAGGCTAAGTAATACCAGTGTACTTCTGTCTCTCTGTGTTGGGAATATTTCCTTCCCTCCATCTCTCCAGCCAGCCTCTGTGAGTTTGAGCTTAAAGGTGTGAGGAGGATCACCACTTGACCAGTGATACAGGCATACCAGACTCCGTTGACAGGTTTAAGTGCATTTATTGAGGCGGGTTTGTTTGAAATAATATACTGTTGGTGCTGGTCCTCAGCCTTGTTATATACAGTGAGGGAAAAAAGTATTTGATCCCCTGCTGATTTTGTACGTTTGCCCACTGACAAAGAAATGATCAGTCTATAATTTTAATGGTAGGTTTATTTGAACAGTGAGAGACAGAATAACAACAAAATCCAGAAAAACAGATGTAAAAAATGTTATAAATTGATTTGCATTTTAATGAGGGAAATAAGTATTTGACCCCCTCTCAATCAGAAAGATTTCTGGCTCCCAGGTGTCTTTTATACAGGTAACGAGCTGAGATTAGGAGCACACTCTTAAAGGGAGAGCTCCTAATCTCAGTTTGTTACCTGTATAAAAAGACACCTGTCCACAGAAGCAATCAATCAGATTCCAAACTCTCCACCATGGCCAAGACCAAAGAGCTCTCCAAGGATGTCAGAGACAAGATTGTAGACCTACACAAGGCTGGAATGGGCTACAAGACCATCGCCAAGCAGCTTGGTGAGAAGGTGACAACAGTTGGTGCGATTATTCGCAAATGGAAGAAACACAAAAGACCTGTCAATCTCCCTCGGCCTGGGGCTCCATGCATGATCTCACCTCGTGGAGTTGCAACGATCATGAGAACGGTGAGGAATCAGCCCAGAACTACACGGGAGGATCTTGTCAATGATCTCAAGGCAGCTGGGACCATAGTCACCAAGAAAACAATTGGTAACACACTACGCCGTGAAGGACTGAAATCCTGCAGCGCCCGCAACGTCCCCCTGCTCAAGAAAGCACATATACAGGGCCGTCTGAAGTTTGCCAATGAACATCTGAATGATTCAGAGGAGAACTGGGTGAAAGTGTTGTGGTCAGATGAGACCAAAATCAAACTCTTTGGCATCAACTCAACTCGCCGTGTTTGGAAGAGGAGGAATGCTGCCTATGACCCCAAGAACACCATCCCCACCGTCAAACATGGAGGTGGAAACATTATGCTTTGGGGGTGTTTTTCTGCTAAGGGGACAGGACAACTTCACCGCATCAAAGTGACGATGGATGGACGGGGCCATGTACCGTCAAATCTTGGGTGAGAACCTCCTTCCCTCAGCCAGGGCATTGAAAATGGGTTGTGGATGGGTATTCCAGCATGACAATGACCCTAAAAACATGGCCAAGGCAACAAAGGAGTGGCCTAGCCAGTCTCCAGACCTTAATCCCATAGAAAATCTGTGGAGGGAGCTGAAGGTTCGAGTTGCCATACGTCAGCCTCGAAACCTTAATGACTTGGAGAAAATCTGCAAAGAGGAGTGGGACAAAATCCCTCCTGAGATGTGTGCAAACCTGGTGGCCAACTACAAGAAACGTCTGACCTCTGTGATTGCCAACAAGGGTTTTGCCACCAAATACTAAGTCATGTTTTGCATAGGGGTCAAATACTTATTTCCCTCATTAAAATGCAAATCAATTTATTTATTTACCATTACAATTATATACTGATCATGTCTTTGTGAGTGGGAAAATCAACAAAATCAGCAGGGGATCAAATACTTTTTTCCCTCACTGTATGTATTGGCTGCTGCGACTGCTACTACAACACAGGAACAAATCCCACAATAATCCAACATCAAATTACTCTCAAGGGTCATGATTTATTAACAGCTTGGACCATGAAAACAAATATAACTCAAACAGCAACAAATGTGCAGAGAGACAATACATGCACACGGGTTGACACACACCCCCACACCCTTTCGTCTCTAAGAGAAGAACACCTAGCCAAAAACATACAGAAAGGGGGTGTTGTACAATATGTAATGTATAATACTAAAAGGAACTTGGCACACATACATATACAGTTGAAGTCGGAAGTTTACATACGCTTAGGTCCACACATTTCTTGTTAACAAACTATAGTATTGGCAAGTCGGTTAGGACATCTACTTTGTGCATGACACAAGTAATTTTTCCAACAATTGTTTACAGACAGATTATTTCACTTATAATTCACTGTATCACAATTCCAGTGGGTCAGAAGTTTACATACACTAAGTTGACTGTGCCTTTAAACAGCTTGGAAAATTCCAGAAAATGATGTCATGGCTTTAGAAGCTTCTGATAGGCTAATTGACATCATTTGAGTCAATTGGAGGTGTACCTGTGGATGTATTTCAAGGCCTACCTTGAAACTCAATGCCTCTTTGCTTGACATCATGGGAAAATCAAAAGAAATCAGCCAAGGACACAGGAAAAAAATTGTAGACCTCCACAAGTCTGGTTCATCCTTGGGAGCAATTTCCAAACGCCTGAAGGTACCACGCTCATCTGTACAAACAATAGTACGCAAGTATAAACACCATGGGACCACGCAGCCGTCATACCGCTCAGGAAGGAGACGCGTTCTGTCTCCTAGAGATGAACGTACTTTGGTGCAAAAAGTGCAAATCAATCCCAGAACAGCAGCAAAAGGACCTTGTGAAGATGCTGGAGGAAACGGGTACAAAATTATCTATATCCACAGTAAAACGAGTCCTATATCGACATAACCTGAAAGGCCGCTTAGCAAGGAAGAAGCCACTGCTCCAAAACCGCCATAAAAAAGCCAGACTACGGTTTGCAACTGCACATGGAGACAAAGATCGTACTTTTTGGAGAAATGTCCTCTGGTCTGATGAAACAAAAATATAACTGTTTGGCCATAATGACCATCGTTATGTTTGGAGGAAAAAGGGGGTTGCTTGCAAGCCGAAGAACACCATCCCAACCGTGAAGCACGGGGGTGGCAGCATCATGCTGTGGGGGTGATTTGCTGCAGGAGTGACTGGTGCACTTCACAAAATAGATGGCATCATGAGGAAGGAAAATTATGTGGATATATTGAAGCAAAATCTCAAGACATCAGTCAGGAAATTAAAGCTTGGTCGCAAATGGGTCTTCCAAATGGACAATGACCCCAAGCATACTTCCAAAGTTGTGGCAAAATGGCTTAAGGACAACAAAGTCAAGGTATTGGAGTGGCCATCACAAAGCCCTGACCTCAATCCTATAGAAAATGTGTGGGCAGAACTGAAAAAGCGTGTGCGAGCAAGGAAGCCTACAAACCTGATTCAGTTACACCAGCTCTGTCAGGAGGAATGGTCCAAAATTCACCCAACTTATTGTGGGAAACTTGTGGAAAGCTACCCGAAATGTTTGACCCAAGTTAAACAATTTAAAGGCAATGCGACCAAATACTAATTGAGTATATGTAAACTTCTGACCCACTGGGAATGTGATGAAATAAATAAAAGCTGAAATAAATCACCTCTATTATTCTGACATTTCACATTCTTAAAATAAAGTGGTGATCCTAACTGACCTAAGACAGGGAATTTTTACTATGATTAAATGTCAGGAATTGTGAAAAACGGAGTTTAAATGTATTTGGCTAAGGTGTATGTAAACTTCAACTATATATACACTGATGTCATATATATGACACATTTGTCCCCCTCTCACATACACACACACAAATGTGCAATAAAAGCAGCCTATGTGCCATGCTGCAGTTTGGAATCGGTAGGGCAGTGCCACTGCTGAGCATAGATATGTAGTGAAGCAGCAGGTGGGGGTGGAGGTGGGTGGAGGGCGAGAAGGGGGTTCTAGGTAAGTGAGATGGAAGTTCTAGGGTCTGGAACGAAGTCGGAACTGGATCTGCTAAGCAAACCTGGACCATAGGCGAGCACAAGCGCACATACAGATATATACACCACAAGACAAGCACCATACTGTACATAGATACATGGACATTGATCGTCAGCTGGTGTGAGATCAGAGGGCAGCAAAAGGTTCAATGTCTGCCCTAGGAGGGGAAAAAAGACCAAGGATAGATAGCAGAGGGGCTTGGGGAGGATAGGGGGAATGGGGAAGGATGAGCGCTAGAGGATGAGCACTAGGCCCATTAGAGATCGCAAGCTCCTTTGACTGCTTATGATGGGGGGATATTTCTTGTTGGAGAAGGAGGGGGTCGCCGACTGGGGGAGAGGAAGGGGGGGGTTGGAGGGAAGTAGCGTTTAGAGGCCAAAGGATGACAGAGAGGGAGAGAGAGAAGAGAGAAGCAGAGAGTTTAGTTAGTTGAAGACGGATTAAAAACAGGCAATCGAAATAGCATAATGGACAGGTGTTAAGAGAAAGTGACTTCAGAGAGACAAAACAGAGAAAAAGTGGCATCCTGAATTCAGAAGTGGTGTTGAGAAACTAGTGCTGAGCGATAAGTGCTTTTTAATCGGTTCGACTATTAAAAAATAAATGGTTTTCTATTTCCATTTTTATTTTTTTATTTTTTTTATACATGAAATGCATTATGAAACAATTACATTAATATGATTTGAGCTTCCCTTAGCCATTACTTGCCTATTTCCTGACACTGACAGTGGGTTGAATGCTGTAACACAAAATACAACTATTAATAAGAGCCCCATGATGGTAGTGAATGCCCATTACTGCTTATCACTTATTAACCATAATGTTTTCACATTACTTTTTACTTTACTTTAATAAAAAACATTCAGTTGTGTACAGTGCATTTGGAAAGTATTCAGACCCCTTCACTTTTTCCACATTTTGTTACGTTACAGCCTTATTCTAAAATGGATTAAATAAAAAAAAGTCATCAATCTACACCCAATACACCATAATGACAAAGCGAAAAACAGGTTTGTAGAAATGTTTGCAAGTATTCAGACCCTTTGCTATGAGACTCGACATTGAGCTCAGGTGCATCGCTCATCCTTGAGATGTTTCTACAACTTGATTAGAGTCCACCTGTGGTTAATTCAATTGATTGGACATGATTTGGAAAGGCACACACCTGTCTATATAAGGTCCCACAGTTGACAGTGCATGTCAGAGCAAAAACCAAGCCATGAGGTCGAAGGAATTGTCCGTAGAGCTCGGAGACAGGATTGTGTTGAGGCACAGATCTGGGGAAGGGTACCAAAAAATGCCTGCAGCATTGAAGGTCCCTAAGAACACAGTGGCCGCCATCATTCTGAAATGGAAGAAGTTTGGAACCACCAAGACTCTTCCTAGAGCTGGCCACCAGGCCAAACTGAGCAATCGGGGGAGAAGGGCCTTGGTCAGGGAGGTGACCAAGAACCTGATGGTCACTCTGACAGAGCTCCAGAGTTCCTCTGTGGAGATGGGGGAACCTTCCAGAAGGACAACCATCTCTGCAGCACTCCACCAATCAGGCCTTTATGGTAGAGTAGCCAGACGGAAGCCACTCCTCAGTAAAAGGCACATGACAGCCCCCTTGGAGTTTGCCAAAAGGCACCTAAAAACTTTCAGACCATGAGAAACAAGATTCTCTGGTCTGATGAAACCAAGATTGAACTCTTTGGCCTGAATGCCAAGCGTCATGTCTGGAGGAAACCTGGCACCATCCCTATGGTGAAGCATGGTGGTGGCAGAATCATGCTGTGGGGATGTTTTTCAGCGGAAGGGACTGGGAGACTAATCAGGATCGAGGGAAAGATTAATGGAGCAAAGTACAGAGAGATCTGCTCCAGAGCGCTCAGGACCTCAGAATGGGGCGAAGGTTCAACTTCCAACAGGACAATGACCCTAAGCACACAGCCAAGACAATGCAGGAGTGGCTTCGGGACAAGTCTCTGAATATGCTTGAGTGGCCCAGCCAGAGCCCGGACTTGAACCCGATTGAACATCTCTGGAGAGACCTGAAAATAGCTGTGCAGCGATGCTCCCCATCCAACCTGACAGAGCTTGAGAGGATCTGCAGAGAAGAATGGGAGAAACTCCCCAAATACAGGTGTGCCAAGCTTGTAGAGTCATACCCAATAAGACTCAAGGCTGTAATCGCTGCCAAAGGTGCTTCAACAAAGTACTGAGTAAAGGGTCTGAATACTTATGTAAATGTCATATTTCAGTTTTTTTTTTTTAATAAATTTGCAAAAATGTCTAAACCTGTTTTTCCTTTGTCATTATCAGGTATTGTGTGTAGATGGATGAGGGAAAAAACTATGTAATCAATTTTAGAATAAGGCTGTAATGTAACAAAATGTGGAAAAAGTAAAGGGGTCTGAATACTTTCCGGATGCACTGTATTTTTTATTTTTATTAAAGTCATCATCTCATCTCTGCTCAGGCAGTAGCAGCCAGCCAGACAACCATCTAATGTTATCTCTGTGCTCCCCATTGAACGAGTCATCCTGTTTAGCAAGGCTAGTAGTAGCTAGCTGGTTGACAAAATCATTTTACTAGTTTGTCAAAGTAGATAAGGCATACTTTCAAGGCTTTTTATTACCAACTACAAAAACCATCGAGTAGAGCTACCTTATGAACTGTTTCTATCTCCCTCGTCGTTGTGTTGCGTCATTCCTCTCTCATGCGGAAAGAACAGGTGCAATGGATTATGGTCATTGTAATTAATTACCAAGTTTCTGCGCTGAACTAAGTTGAATATTTGCCTAACTTCTAATCAGTCCAGCGTCCCACATAGTTCTTGACTTAACTTCTCATTAATTATTTGATTTCTCTCTAGAGAAACGGCGGGTTGAGCTCACAACAACAACAAAAAACGACATGGAATTCAAGTAATTTAACTGATGTCGGTCAATTTGTTGTTTAATATCCGGGAAAATTTGTATTTTGGTTAATCGCTCAGCACTAAGAGATTAACTTGAGCTTGTGGACTCTTCCTTGTTTCAGTAACCACAAACCACTGTTTTACTTGAATTAATAACCCTCAAAATATTCCCACCTAAGATATTGGAACGTCTATACATGATGGAGGCAACTGACTCAGGTTAGCTATATGGTCAGGAAAAACTCAGGGTTACCCCTAGTTATGGGTACAAAATAGTGTTCAGTGTCTCCATGTACATATGTCAGACCCTTTTATCCAAATGCCAAAGCAACTTACAGTGAGTGCATATATTTTTTGTATGCGATCCCTGTGGGAATTGAACCCACGATCTTAGCACGATCACACTCTTACCAACTGAGCTACACAGGAGCATATAGGCCTACAGTAGGATGCCCTGGCCTCACCTGGGGATGCTGGGAGGGGCCCGGTTGGGGCGGCTGGGGACCTGGGGGCTGTCAGCACTGTTGTTGAAGGGTCCCAGGGGTCCTGGGCGGTTAGGAGGGGGTGGAGCCCCTCGCCCCCCTCCGGGACTGGGGCGCTGGCCTGATGACATCCTTCTAGAACCAGTGGGGCTGGTTGGAGGAGACCTGAGGGGAGAGGAGATAGGGCTAACAGTACCCTTTCATGTATGACATTTCTTGACATAACATAGATAACATAGACTTAACTATTTATGATTTCATTTTTCCTTGCAACAGTCTCCCAGTAAAAAAAAAAAGAATTAGTCTTCAAACACGGTTCTCCTGCTCGCCAACCCAACATCTTCACCTGTAGACCAATAGTTGACTCCATTACACTACACTTAGATATCTAGGGTAGTCATTATCCATGGACTACCAGGATGCCTACCTGTTGCCGCCTCCACTGCGCCAGTCGTTCACGGGAGGGGGCATGGGGGTGGAGATGGTGGTGGTGGAGATGTCTCCTATGATGGCCAGGGCCTCCTTCAGGGACTGGTGGGTCCTGAGGACCTCGTCCCTCCTCTGGACTTGCTCCTGGGACTCATCCATCAAGGCACCCTGGTCCCCAGCCGAGTACAGCTGGGCCAGCAGCTCCGCGTTGATGAAGTCCTTCACCTGGTGGCGGGGGAGAGAGTTGATGGATCAATCAATCCTTCAAATTATGTTTATAAAGCTATTTTTACAACAACGGTTGTCACACAGTGTTATACAGTAACCAGGCCCGTTTGATTTAGCTTGCCTGGCACAAAGGAACCAACAGAATCACCTGAAAAGTTGCACACCAGCCAGGCTCAAGCGAACGTTTAAAGTATTTGAAAAATGTAACCTACTATTTGAACCCATGCCGGATACAATTCCACCAGCGTGGAGCAGAGGTCCCTTACATTACTGATCATGAGGTGCATGATGGTCTTGGGCATGAGGTCACGGATGCACTTGTTGACGATGGCCATGTATGAGTCGACCAGGTTCCGAATGGTTTCCACTTTCCGCTCAAGCTGAGGGTCCATGGAGAAGTTGTCCTGGGACGAGGACGATGAGCCGCCTCCTTCACCTTCCACCTGGAGGAAGACCGCTTTAAGTTTTAAACACACCTGTATTTAGCGATACAGATCTTGTGGCTTGCATCTTTAAATGCAGAAAACTCATGTGCATATCAATGACAAAATAATACAAATTGTATTTGTAAAGCGCTTTTCATTACACACGGAAATCACAAACCTTAAGAAAGGTTTATAAAAAGAGCTAAAAGCTTTTAGCAAAAATTAACTATTAATTCACTATAACAGTAGCATATATGCATGTCAATCTCTCATGGCTCAAAGTGGAAGAGAGATTGATGTTGTCACTACTTGTTTTTGTAAGAAGTGTTGACATGCTGAATGTACCGAGCTGTCTGTTTAAACTACTAGCACACAGCTGAGACACCCATGCATACACCACAAGACGTCTCTTCACAATCCCCAAGTCCAGAACAGACTATGGGAGGCGCACAGTACTTGGTTGTGGGTTCGATTCCCACGGGGGGCCAGTATGATTTTTTTTTTAAATAATGTATGCACTCACTAAATGTAAAAATGTAATGTAAGCAGTTGAATCAGATTGAGAAAAAAAAACAGGTAAAAATACACCTTATGGAACAGCGGGGACTGTGAAGAGACACACAAAAAAGTTAGACACGCATATGCATACATTGTAATATTGTTGTATGGCGGTATTATACATTTTGTATTGTAGTGATGTAATAATGTTATATGATGTACGGTTTTATCTTTTGTTTTATATGTAATGTGCTTTAATGTGTTGGAGACCAGGAAGAGTAGTTGCTGCCTTCGCAGCAGCTAATGAGGATCCCTAATAAATACAAATAGCATATCAACAAGGTGTAGCCTACATCTATTCTGACTCATTGCAACTTCCTGTCCACCTCATCTGCCTTGTTTATCCTGTTCCCTATTACCCATGACTACCCCTCACTCACTTCCCATGTTGCACTTCTATTATGTAATCCATCTTATCACTTCCCAAGTGAGCCATCATATCACTTTATTTTCTCATTGAAGTTTGATTTAACTGTGAAGATGATTACAATGTAAATGTAATCATCGTCACAGTTACATCTAACTTCAATGAGAAAATACAGTAAGTGGTCACAGTGGTGGGCACCAGGGTTGGGGTCAATTCCATTTCAATTCAGCCAATTCAGTTTACTTCCTGAATAGACTGAATTGAAATGGAATTGACCCCAACCCTGGTGGCCAGTGCAGTGGTCACTCACATTAGAAGACCTTTCGGGGTAGACTCCAGCGCGCAAGAGAGAAGCCCTCCAACTGTCCACCTCGTCCTGAGTGTCACAGGCCAGCTCCAGGAAACGATTGTCCTTGTACACATTCCTGTCAGACCACAACACAGGGGAGCAGAGGAGGAAGTTAGTTACACTGCTTCCGGGTCATTTAAGGGGCATGTGGCAGGTCCATCAATTTAAATAAAGGAAGAAAACAAGCCCACCAGACTATCTGGTTTCTCTCTCCTTCTACAGTATGTATCGTTATTATTAGAAGTAGTGGTACTAAAGTAGGAATATTTTAAGTAGAAATAGTGCTATAATATTAAAAGTAATGTTGTTAAGATGTGTCTGTCTGGTTTCAGACCTTTGTTCTGTGTTGAAGATGGCAAAGGCATGCTTGCTGGACATGAACCCTTTCTCCACGTCGCGCACCTTCAAGTTGTCCAGAGGGAGCATGTATTTCTTCTCCTTCTCCTGAGAAACACAAAACAGAAAGGGAGGTACCATCAGCAGGTTTTACAATAAAAACAAGCAACAGAAAAGAACCATGTTAGGGAAATGTTTACTTTTCTAATTACTATCTGATCTCTGTGTGTCATATTATGTTTATTTTTCAGCTTGATTTTTTGAAAATCAACAGGATGGCTTAGTTGGGCGGTGATCCAGGGAGAAAGGGAGAGAAGGGGAATGTGGAAAGAAGGGTAGGGAGAAGGAGAAGTTGGGGGGAGCGCAGGGGAGTGGGAGGAAGAATGAGGGTGGGATGTAGAGCGGGGCAGGAGAGGGAGGGGGAGACTACATGTTGAAGTCATTAGTGTGTGGGTTGTTCTCCATGGTACGTTTGTAAGGGAGGGAGAGCTAGAGGAAACGTTCTGGCTACGATAAAGAGAGGAGAAATACAGATGTGGAGAAACACCGGGGACTCAGGGAATGCGCTGCGGTGTGCATGTGAATGCATGGACGTCAGATGAAGCAGAGGGCTGCTTGTCTGGATAACACTGAGCATGACAAGGTTTTAATGGTGGATGCAAAGAGTTGAGATCGAGAGTAAAATGTACTATAAAATTCTCCATCACACACACTCCACCCATCCTACCCTTCATCCTCACCATCTCAATTCTTCACTCTCACATTCTCTCTCTACTATCCCTCCCCCTCTTATTTCTTCAATTTTTCTTTCCTTTCCAGAGGGGCCCACTTCCTGCCTGATTTTGAGGAGTGAGGGAGAAAGAGAGGTAGGTAGAGAGAGAGCGAGAGATTAAATGACAGCCTGGCGTTAAGACTCAACATCTGGTACCGCTTAACAGCACAGAGCGACAGAGTGCGAGAGAAGGAGGGAATGGAAGAACTTCCAGAACAAAGTTAAGAAAGAGGGAGACCTGAAGAAACTAAGTGAAGGATTTAGAAAAGTGGTTCAACAGAGGTGTCCATATCTGACCCCCTGCAGAGCGATGGTAAGGTCTCACTAGGTATGAAACGAGAAAAGAAAAGAACCGTTGCAGACTTCTCTCGGTTGTATTCCCCAAGAGGTCACTCCAACCCATATATGGTCACACGTGTCCCTCCCTCTTCCTCCATCTATCTCACTATTTTTCCTTCCCTCTCTTTTTTTGTAATATCCCCTCCCTGAGTGCTCAGCCAGTCTGTCCCGGTCGGTCGTCTGAGTGAATGTGCCACGTCAAGCCTGGATACTCTGCATGGCCAGCATGACCCAAACGGACCGTGAGGGGAGCGACACCCAGAAACGCAACAAACAAACGACAGAGAGGGGGAGAAGAGGCGACACAGACAGGTTTTGGGGTTTGAGAGGGGGGATCCCTACTTCTTGATGCCAAAATGGAGGAGGATGAGGAAGGAAGACAAAGATCTGCAACCCTACTGCCTATGGAATGGCAGAGAGTCAGTGTCTTTGGGGCCTGAGACCGAGTTCGTCTGTCCGGCTCCGTCCTCCCAGTGTTCAGACTACCTGTTCATTGTCATACTGGTGTACAGTAGTCTGCACATTGGTTAGACTGGGCAGGGAAGCACTTCTCTTCTATTCGGGGAAACATTGGCTTTCAAGGAGGTTTCATAGTGGGTTTGATTATCTACACTCCACCACCGACCATCTTCCACTGCCGTTTGCTCATCTCTATGATTTGTCTTCTCTACTCTGTGTCTATGTCTGGTATCTGTTCCTTTTAGGGCATCCCATTTGTACTTTTTGAATGTTCTAACTGCATTTTTAAGACTAATTTTACTTTATGGAATAAATGTATATCATTGGCTTCCTTAAGAAAATACCTATATAAAAGTTAAAAATGTTCCATAGTAAGGTCTTAGACCAAGGTGTTCTAATGTCCTTGAAACAGTCTGCTTACTAAGTGTATGGTATAACAGCAATAGAAATGTGTAGACTCCTGTATCTAACACAAAGAATCCAGCCCTGATTCTGATGCAGTAGACGGGAGAGGGAGGAGCAGCAGAGACTCCATAGAATCAAACAGTCAAGCAAAGTGGTCAATCCATCCATCAATCAATTCCTGCTTCAAATACAAAACACATACTTCCAGTATTTCAGTGGAGTCAGGTTGGGAGGTTACAGTAACTATGTTGCCTAAATTATACAGTCAAACTCAGAGCTAGAATATAATACTATATAATTTAACTGGTGGTCAAACTATTGTGTGGCAGATGGTCTTCATACTGTCCAGTGTGTACAAGCAAATATATTATTTCACTATGATATAATAAACCAACTAGGGGAGAGGCCTAGTGGTTTGGTGGGGCTAGAGGATGATGTTGTTAAAAGGATGTATAAGGTTTTTCTATATAAGGTTTTGTTGCAGTAAATTACTGTATTGGGGGTTGTATACTGTATAGGGAATAATATTAGTGATGGGTGTAGTATGGATGCTAGGATTAGCAATGGTGTTGGGAACACGATTACTGTAATATTAGGGTGGCTGTGGAATTGTATTGGTGATAGATGGTTTGGATAATGAAGGGGTATTGGGTTCAGAAACAGAGAGGGAGGAATACTGCCATTTAATAGGTTATTTCTCCCCACTGAATCACTGGAGGCTGATGTTTGGATTACAAATGTGTGATTTTCCTGTCAGGAATGTGTGCAGTTTCAGAGAAACTGCCAACTGCACCAAGAAAGAGAGGGGGGGGGGGTCAGAGAGAGAGAGTATGTAAATAAATATACAGTAAGACACCCAAGGAAAGGTGGAAAAATGCTTGTTTGAATGCAGTGGTGGGATTAGTTAGTTGAAAAAGTTATACATTAATATTACTCATTACAAAAGTAATGTGTTAATTTACAATATGACTTTGTGGAAAGTAAAGCATTATATTACTAGTTATATTAATTTATAACTTTCATGACAAAAATCAAAAAATCTCACCGTTTATTTAACTGTGAAGGGAGCAAGGCGAGCCGCTCTACCAAAGACAGGCTACTTTCTAACTCATCTGTGACGCTGCTTTCCTGTGCTAGTCTACAAGTGCTGCACTATCATATGGTCTGCTTAATTAGCCATATATACACTGTAAGCCAAACATCAGTACAGATTTTCTATTTTTTCATTCAAAATCTCTCTCGAACCGCCAGTTCTGATTATAGACCGGGACTTATGGAGATGTACAGAGGGCACACTTACCACTAGATGGGAAAGCCCTCTATGGGCTTTGCTAACACAGAAGCGATCAATGGCAAAGATCAGAAGTGCGTACTCTATACATTTCTATGGACAGCAACTATCATGACATTTCTCCAAACAGCCTTTCTCCGCTCGCTCGAGAACTAAATGAGGAAACAAGTCGGGATTGGATCATGGAAACACGCATTCGGTAGAGATATGATTCTGAAAGTCACGCAAGTTGTTTGACAAAGTAACTAATAATATTACCCAATTGTTGTTTGACAAAGTAACTGTTATAACATTACCCATCCGTTACTCATTAAAGTAATCCGATTACACAACGCGTTACTTTTGTAACATATTACCCCCAACACTGGTTGAATGTCAGAGATTCGTAAAACAACTGCTTTAAAGTCAACGCAACATGAGAATGTCTACGATCCATCGAGTTACCGTTTTGAATTATTACTGCATGTGTAGATGTGTATTTGCATGCATGTGTGAGCAGTGGTTTTATTCGGGATGGTTCCAATTGTGCAAAAGAATACCAAATGCCTTAACTCCCAGCGGAGTGGGAGAGGAGAGGTGGAGAGACAGAAATAAATAAAAAAAACAGACAAAGAGAGCGTGAGAAGAGGATATAAAACTACTGTTTCCTGTCCAGTGAATTTTGTTGTGTATATTGAGAGGATTTAAACCATGTGGATTGCTTGTGACCCATGTGATGTCATCTGCTGACCAGTGCATGGATTGGCTGACTCCGGGAGTTGCCGTGTGTCTGCCTGTCTACACTTGCTGTGCAGAACATCCTGGAACCTGTACAGCAGGCACAGACAGGCAGACAGACACCAGCCCGTCAAGCTATGAATGACAACATCCAGCCAATCAACGAGCACCCTGCATCGCAAGGGGAGGGGAAACGTCACTGAAGAGCCAATGTGGAACCACCGTTGAGTTGTGATTTAGTGGGTAGTCAGAAGGTATGGTTTATATTATGTCCTCTACAAAGATATCGATCAAAATACTTATCACTTGGGAATTGTCCAGAGATTCAAAGCGCATATGTATATTTTACCATTTGTTGACCTGCCCTCCCTTAAACGACATTAAACAGAAAGGAGGGCTGTATTGGAGGGGAAATGGTGTTCCAATCCACCATCAACTGAAATCTAGCCATAAACTACATCAAACTTACTGTACTAACCCACCCTGAAGAGGGTCAACTAAGTCACTCACCTCATCATCCTTGAACCAGGACAGACTCTCAGCGGTCAGGACAAACCAGTACTCCTTAGCCCCGCCTTTAATTATACTGATGTTGTTGATGGTCAGCCAGCCCTTACGGATGACCTGTAGAGGGCAGAGGTTAGAGGTCAGGGGATGAAAGATGGGGTCATAGTGGTGGTGGGTGGTGTGATTGCAAGGGAGAAAAGTTTAGAAGGTACTGAAGAGTTGTCATGTCCACACGGAAGCATCATCTACTGTACCCCATCCTACTTCAATCATATTCTGTCAAACCTGGCCTGCTAGTCTACTACATGTACCCAAACCAATTTGTGCACAAAAGTGATGTATGAATAACAAAATGCAATGAGAGAGTGTGTTGTGTGAGAACTCCAAGTTAATCGATATTGTCAGTGTGTATCTTTGTGAATAAACCGCAGGTTGGCATTTATTGTCATGAATCTTGCCCTGGAGGCAGCTGTGTAGCGAGGTCATAAGCTGACACAGCCACAAATCTGTTTTTAAACCTAACCCTAACATTAACCACACTGCAACCCAAATGCCTAACCCTAGCAAATTGTTTTAATTAATTTTTACGATATAGCCAGCTGGCCCATCTAGCGGAAATCGCTCAGTTCTGTCTCAAGGGGAAGATTCATGACAATAAACATCAACCTGCGAATAAATCAAACCATAATTTGTGACTGAGTTCAGTGACAGTCTCCAGGCACAACAGGGCACTATGTTGAAAGTTACAAACACAGGTCTGTGTCACAGTGTTAAGAAGTGACCGTTGTGTTATTAGTGCTTCATAACATCCCGCACACACACAATATAAGCATCATAGCATTAGTGCTACATCAGTGTTTGTGTTAGGTGGGTTAACCAGCCGCACAAACAACAAGCCAGTGGCAGTCAAAGGATTGAGTGATTATTAAGTTAGGTGTCTAGGATGGCCTAGAACCACTAAGGGGGTTAACCAAAAAGCATATTTATAAAGTCTTATTTTTGTTCAGTCCTGGCACAAATCAAATATTTTTTCAACACCATTTGTAGTGGGAGGCTGATTGTGACAGGTAACCCCCTGTGGTCAAAGGGATGAGGGAGTGTCATAACGTAAACTGTTGCTCTTACAATCAGGCCTGAGGCGGGAGGAGAGGAGGCCTGAAACAGGAAGGAAGTGGGGCGTTAAAACACCTAAGGCACCACATTACGTGGGTACCACGTCTGGACACAATCTCACGAATGGAACCTACCACACCTGGCTCAAATACATCATGGTAAATACTTTCCAATACTTAAGGTGTGCTTAATTTAGCTTGGAGCTTGTACTTTTGGGACTATTCCATTGGTCCCATTGTATAGCAGGCAAACTAAATCAATGCAGATAAAGCATTTGAAAGTATTTGACATATGTATTTGACTGACCCAGAACCTGTGTAAAAGTAGCTAACTAACAGCCATAGCAGTTGAGTTGGTTCAAGTTAGCATACCTACGGCGTAGCCCTTTACACTTGTACCCGTACATGGGTTGAAAATGGCAGATTTGGGCACTGATAAGCGCATAATTTGGAACGCAGTGGCTGCACAGTAACATGCTATAAATGACGCCAGACCTCAGGCTCAGCGATGTAAGGGTTTTGATACAACACAAATGGAACCTGTCAACTCCCACTTCTAAGGACGTATCCAAGTTACTGATGTTGGCTCTGCAGTGTGTCATGACTCTCCCTGGGTGAGGATCAAAGGCCTCATATCAGCAAGACAACAGCAGACAACAACCAGACCTTCTTACCCACGGGGGGGGGGGGGGGGTCTCTCTCTAATTTATCTCTGGCCCTGTAGTATGGTGAAAGGAATGTCCTTCGTTTGAGACTTTTGCCGCCCAAAAACATCAACAATGAACATTAGGACAATATATTTCAACATTCCAAACGTTGGGAATGATGAGAAATGGAATATGGAAAATTAATGTATATTTTGTGATGTCATAAAAAATTGTATAAAAGGCGTTATAACGAAAACAGTGTGACTTTAAGAGCTTTTACACTGTGTATGTCAGGCTTACATCCTTTACCTTGGGTAGAAAATATCAAGGAGGAAGACAATGTTTCCGTGAAGATAGGAATGTGATTTTAGCTTTTTAACAGAATCATAGTGATAATACTTTTGCCTCGTAACTAGCCACGCCCGAGGGAGTATGACAGAAACGCCCCTCTTTACCAGAGTGCATAAAAGACTGAGATAAGAACGATCAGATCAGACTAGACGGACCTCAAGCTGCAGCTGTTGTCCATATTGGGCCCGACCCTGAAAATCAACACGAGGTGAAGACGACAAAGTTGCCTCCACTAACAATCAATGTTACGTCTGAGTAGCTGTTCTAAGTACTGTATCTAAGAAGGTGAATTTAAGTGGGACCATCCTGTTACTCTCTTCAAACCATCGTATACTACACTGCTCTCATTACCCCACAGGGGATCATCGACACGGCTGATTAGCAGTCCTCAGAAGACCACTCCCAGAAAGAGTGAAAGTAAACATACGACTAAGAAGAAGGACATTGTGACCTCTTGTGGACAATCTGAGCCTTACATCTAAAAGGCCATCCGAAAAGAGAAGGCCCAATCGACCCTTCCCACGAAGGCCTGGGTCCAACAGAGACGATGAAGACAAACACGTAAATACATGCATTACTTCTTACCAAACGGACGGCAGTTCTGGCAAAGTATTATGATTACTATGAGCTTAGGTCCATGTGTATCCAAGTGTTTTTTTGTGTTAGTCCGCTAGGGACCCGTTTTCATTGTATTAAATTTCTAATCCCTACCTATACCGTGTACGTGTTTGTATCTTGTGTTCTCATTTTAAATTAGTAAATAAATAATTAAATCAATTTGTGTGGTACGGAATGATCATTAAGACCTTGGTTCGTGCAGACTTAAAGAGCCTACGACTTTCAGAATGAGACTGATGAGGTAAATGATTAATAAATGACTTAAATTATGAGATAAAGATATCTTTACAGTTAATTCGGGAAACGGTAACTCGTTAAACAACTTTTCCCGTGGTGTCCCAAATTCCTAATGAGTTAATTGTTACATGATACATTTAATCTAATAACAATTAAACATAGTAGGTAATTATTCAATAAATAATAGTCATCACAATAATGAAAGCCACGTCACGACAAGTGTTTTAGAAATTAACTTGACATTGTCGGTATCTGCCTATCAGGTTTTCTGGAATGAAAACAAAGTCATCTTCCCTAGTTATTTAACTTTAACTGAGATTGTGCCTATGCCACTATAAGTAGCCCTCCACTCGTACCCGTATACAGGTTGAAAATGGCAGATTTGTGCACTGATAAGCACATAAATTGGAACGCAGTGGCTGTACAGTAACATGCAATACATGACGTCAGAGCTCAGGCTCTCCGCTTCACAGCACTGTATGGGTTTTGACTGAAAGCCGTTCTGAACTTCAGCAACACAAGTTCAGAAGTTGCCCTCATCCCTCCCGCTAATTGGGCAACGTTTGCACACTTTTTGTTGTGTGAGTGAGGAACTATGTATTTTTAAAGATGAGATGTCATCCAAGCAAGCCAAACACCCGCGAGACCAAATGTGCACTTCACATTTTCATATCATAAAACTCAAGTCATATACAGTGTCAATGTTTATGATCACTATGTCTGATGTACAGATACAAGATGTCATTGCGTCATACCCTGGGTTGTTCTGAACAGAATGTCTGTCTATTGTGAAGAAAATTCACTGCGGAACTCGGACCTGAATCACGCATGACTTCTTTCTATGCACACCAAAATTACAATCTGCTTCTCTGAATTGCCCTGTGAAAGCCTAACACTGTAATATCGTATTTTATAACTTAGTCATGTTGGCAATAGAACAAGCTTTCAAATGATGCACACCTGATCCAGATTACGATGTATAATGGGCCTTTTTTGGATTGCGTAAACACCAACAGTAATTGTGTGATGGCAGGGATGTAGGGCTGTGTTCCAAACAACACAACTGTGCTTCCTCAAAAGGCACAGCTATGAGAGCTGCAAAAAGCACATTATAGTTGAAGAAGTTTCTTTGAGTTATAAAAGTGCTTTGAAATTACTAAGGAACTGTGCACACTTTGGAGAGGTGTGTGGCCACATGGAAACACCAGTTAGTTATTTCACTCAAACCCTTGTAATTTTTGTGTCTAATGTTGCACCTACCCCATATTTCCCAGTTACTGAATTTATCCAGAGTATTTTCACATTTCGTTATCAACAAATGCGGCGAAAAGTACATTAAATGTCAAATGCACATAAAAATCAACAGCGTAATGTTTGGATTCAGTCTTGTCCTCAACTTTGGTCTAATAATTTCCCCAGAATCTCCTAACTTTCAATTGCTCCCATGCTTTTCATATTTATTTTGTAAGAAACATTTAAATTTAGCCCTATCCACATAGGCCAATTCCCACGAGTGTAAAGGGTTAAGCTTGAGACATGGAAAAAGCTATACACAGTCAACTCAGGTTGGCCACAAGAGGGAGCCACACTCTGGGCAGTAGAGTAGAGTAAATACAGGCAGCAGGCAAAGCCCAACCCTAACCCCAACGAGTGATACTCACCAACCAGGCCAGACGCCCAAAACAGGGCAGCTCAGATTCTCACTAAGGGGTTGGGATGAAATGCATGGGGGCACCTTGATGACATAGAAGGGGTTTAAACATAGTGATAAAGGTAAATAGAACGTAAAAACATCCATTTGTTTTGTACACGCATAACATAAGTGTCACAATCCAACTGAAAAAGACAAAGGCAATCGAAAGGTCCCCCAAAATCAACATGAAATGTAAAAAAGCATGCAACAAAGGTAATAATGTATGTATAATGTACAGGAGTATACATTACCGTGTGCTGTGAACAAATGAATGACATAAAGAAACCAGGAAGCATACGAGTCACTATCCCTATGGCCCTGTTTCCTCCTATATGGCCTGCAGCCCACTGTGTGAGTGTGGGCACCATTGGCCTTTTGTTCGGAAGTGTGTGTGTATGGTATTTCAGATCCTCCTCTATGTCTCACCTGGCTGACCTGGCTTGCAGCATTACTTTGCTTGTTACTCTGCTTGCTGCTCTGCTGTGCACTATGAAGCAGAGAAAGCAGAGAGACAGAAATAGACAGCGATAGGAAGTAAGCGCACAAGAGAGAGAAACAGACAAGGGAGGGAGAGGTCTGTACGGTATTATCTGCAGGTATTCAGTATCTATTTTCCCCCCCCCCCCCCCCCCCCATCTCCACTTTGTAATAACATTAGCAGGCCAATAAAGGCAGGCCTGGTCAGTAATTTACTTAGCAAAGCCTATGAAGTCGTCATGGTTAGTGTTGATGTACGAGAGCTGGACATCGATTAGCAGCAACACCTGCAATTGGAGACAGAAAGATTTGGTCAACAATACATGGAAGCTTCATTTACAGTGTAGTATTACTAGCCCCTGGGTCAATAAGTATACTGTATACATAACCATGTGTGTATTTGTACTGTGTGTGTGTGTGTGTGTGTGTGTGTGTGTGTGTTGGTTCTTCTATCCTTGTGGGGACCTAAAATCCCCAAATGTCACCACAAGGATAGTAAAACAAGGAAAATTCTCCCTTGTGGGGACATTTCCCAAGTCCCCATGAGGACAAATGCTATTTTAAGCTTAGGGGTTAGGTTTAGGGTTATAATTAGGGTAAGGGGTTAGTGGTTAGGTTTAGGGTTATGGTTATGGTAAGGGAAAATAGGATTTAGAATGGAAATGAATTTTAGGTCCCCACGAGGATAGAAGAACATAATGTGTGTGTGTGTGTGTGTGTGTGTGTGTGTGCGAGATATGTAGGTGTTACCTGGTCCTTTGCCCTACTCTCTCTGTCTCGGATGTGTGAGGTCACAATTCTCTCAGTTTCCTCACGCAGTCTGGGGAAGCAATCCAACTGAAAACACACATCACATCCTATTACGGTACATCATAGGAAATAATATAATTTAAAACACACCATGTTTTTGAATTCTAAACGATACCATGAGCATTGACTGACTAAAAGGTTACCTTGTTGGTGCACTGGCGCACTGTGTTGATCAGCTCCTGAATGACCATGTCCACACACTTGATACATGGTTCCTTGATCTTCACTATCTGCTTCTTCACAATGGCCTCAAACGCCATGTCTGGAGTGAACAGGCCAGTCCTAGAGAGTGAAAGTGAGAGTGAGAGAGAGAAATGGAGATGAGAACAGTCAGGAAAGTAGATGCGTGTAGCAGGAAGAAGAGGATAGGAGAGTGAGATAGTTGAAGGTGGTATGAGAGAGGTAAGCAGTAATCATAAATACACACCCACCGGATACCGTGGATGTTCTTGATGGCGTAGCTGATCTCCCGCCGCATCTCCTTGTCATCACACTCCATCTGGCAGAGAGAGAGTGAGAACGAGAGAGCGATTGAGAATGAGAGTGTTTTCTAGCCTAGCACCAAATGAAACGAGATGTGCATCAGTCAGCTATCTAACCTTAACCAGTTCGAAGGGGAATCTCTCGTGGAAGATGCGGTTGATCTTGGCTCCACCAGAGAGCTCTACAGTATCTACCTGGTCCCCAGAGCCCTCGATACGCTTCTCAAAGTCGACTGAAAACTGCTGCACCATCCTACACACACACAATCAAAATTGGAATTTCAGTTGATTTGCTGAATTGACTGAATTGAGACGCAATTGATCCCAACCTTAATTGTGAGTGTGGAACTTTTTCTGATGGACTCACTGCAGCAGTTGCTTGGTCTTCCGTCCCGGGTCATCAGGGCGGTATCCCCGGTACTCCTCGGCCTCCTTGTCCAGAGACAGCAGCTGGGTCTGCAGCTTGCTACGGAATTCCGGCAGCGTGTCACGGATGTGGTTGGTCAGTTGCTATGGCAACACAACACAAAATGAACCCTAAATATAATGACGCTAAGCAAGCCTATTAAGCTGGCTTTGGGATCCATAGCAAGGATGTAATAACCCGTAGGAGAGACTCAGTTACTGTTAACTGGTCAGTCTACAGTCAGTCCTTTAGCCTACCTGGTTGAGGACTTTCTGCAGGCATGGGGTGCCCATCTTTTCGGCCATGTGTCTGTAGGCCGGGTGAGTCAGGAAGAACTTCCTCTCAGCAGCCATAGCCATCTTGATGTCCTTCTTCCCATCAATGTCCTTCTGACTGCGGTTCACCACTCCAATGTAACCTGGCAACACACAGATGGACAGGGTGAAACCACTCCAACATAACCTGGCAACACACACAGATGGACAGGGTGAAACCACTCCAATATAACCTGGCAACACACACAGACAGGGTGAAACCACTCCAATATAACCTGGCAACACAGACAGGGTGAAACCACTCCAATATAACATGGCAACACACACAGACAGAGTGAAACCACTCCAATGTAACCTGGCAACACACACAGACAGAGTGAAACCACTCCAATATAACATGGCAACACACACAGACAGAGTGAAACCACTCCAATGTAACCTGACAACACACAGAGACAGAGTGAAACCACTCCAATGTAACCTGGCAACACACACAGACAGACGGTCGGGGGATGACGGAAAAGACATGACTGAGATACAAGAAAATGGAACCAAAATGAAAAGCATGTATGGAGGACAGAACAGAAAAGCTGATACCAAAGATGACCAAAGTAGATCGGCGGACATAAAGATTGATAAAGAAAGACAAAGAAAGAGAGAAAGTAAGTAAGAGAGAGATGTCCCACCTCTCCTCAGGGGCAGCAGCTTGTTCTCCAGGACCTCCCTGGCATCTGTTCCCTCATCCATCAGGTCCAGCTTGGTGATCACTCCTATGGTCCGCTGGCCTAGAATCAGAGGTCAAAGGGTAAGGGGCAAAAGGCAGTGGTAGGTCAGTCACAACACAAAGGCTGCGTTCCAGGCTGACTACATTACAGATGCCTGCGAGATCTCACAACGCTTGGATAGGTGTTTAAAAAAATCAGGTAACCCCATCATATGATATAGCAATCTGATCAACATCTTACCCTGGGGGTCGACGTCTTTGGCCAGTTTGAGGGCGTCTGAATTGGCCAGGTCAGAGTTAGCCGGGGTGACAGCCAGGATGAGACAGCTCTCCCTGCAGATGAACTGCATGATCATGTCTCTGATCTGCTGCTCGATGTCTGCTGGCTGGTCCCCCACTGGCACCTTGGTGATGCCTGGCAGGTCGATCAGGGTCAGGTTCAGCACTGCAGGCAGGCAGGGAGGGAGAGCGGATACATCTCATAGTGAATATTACTTAACACACAGGATGGAGAGCATAACACCTCACAATGAACAATACACAATTGTTCAGCGGTGCAGGAGGTAGAGGACAGAGTAGTTAAGGGGTTGTGTATGTCTACCATGTGGGGAGTAGACGCGCAGGTTGATGGGGACGGGAGAGATGCCCTTATTGGCACCAGTAATGCGGTCAGTCTCTGCCTCAATCTCCTGGCGAACTTCGTCGAAATCTGTGAACTTCTTCCCTTTGCAGTGTAAGAACTCTGCCCATTCTGTGAAGATAGACGCAAAGATTAGATTCCAAATGTATGTGTGTGTGTGTGTGTGTGGTGTGTGCGCATTACCTGCATTGGCGCTGATAAGCTGCAGGACAAGGGGCCTGCGGGTGACGATCCCAGAGCCTCGGGGCAGGAAGTCCCTGCAGACAAATAGCCAATCAGGACAGAAACACAGAGGAGGTGGGGTTGAATTTAACCTTGCCTGCCAGGAACGAATGTGACAATAAGATGGTGTCTGGCTATGTGAGACTATGTTGATGGTGACAGTGATGGTGTGTTGCACTGTAGGAGACTGAGGCCTTGTGAACCCTGGGTGAACCACCAACAGCCAGACTGCCATGGTGTACAATGACTCACACATACTGAACACACACAACCACGTAATGTAGAATTAATCAAAGCACACAACCAAATGGAGTCTCTTCTTACTAACAGAAGATAATATGAATGGAAAAAAATGTTGATCTGAAAATGTCTACAGGCTCTTTGGTCCAAAATGTTTTTCCAGTTTACCCTCAGAGCCACCGGAGCACACCTCGATTCCCTTAATGATGCTGATCCAATAAAATAGTTCTGAAATGTGTATATGTCATTCTGACCTAAAGCACAAGAAGTCAACATGAACTGCTGCACAGTGACAAGTAGCAGAGCACTCATTTAAAGAACGATGACTTCAGTACACACCAGTCTGCTACCAGGCAAGAGAGTGCATGTGTAGGTGTGTGTGTGTGTGTGTGTGTGTGTGTGTGTTTATTTTACCAGGCAGGTCAGTTAAGAACAAACTCTTATTAACAATGATGGCCTGGCAAGTGTGTGTGTGTTGACCTGATAGCCAGCAAGGTGAGACAAGGTCTCACCAACAGAACATGAGCATAAACACTCTTGTGTAAGGGAAAGCTGGTTTGATGTTGATGTGTTTTCCTGTGTGCCAAATACGCCAGATATTGTTGTTGTGGGGGGAGGCGCTCATTTTGGAAGTGGGCTGCTCATTTGAGGGTTACATGGAGCAGGCCTTTGCCGAGAAGGTGCTTAAGTACCAGCCCCTCGTGGCACGCTTGGACAGCCTCGGGTGTAGGTGCAAGCTGGTGGCGCTGATATTCGGCAGTCTCGGTCACAGGCTTGCAGTGCGTGGCCTCCAGATTGCGGGCCTGACAAAAACTAGCGCAAAGCAACTGGCTAGGTACTGCTCTGTTTCAGCTGTCGTGGAAAGCCTAGCTGTTTGGAGGAGGTGGTGCTTTCTGTACCCTGGAGTGCCATGCATACAGGGACCTTTAAAATGTTTGGATCCTTTTTTTGTAAATTTGATTGGTGGATTCAACTAAAGTATTTAGTGTGTGTGTGTGTGTGTGTGTGTGTCTACATGTATGTTTAGGCATCTTGTCATTTCACTCAAATTGGCTCGATGAATGAACAAATATTGATATTGAAACCTCCCTCTATCTACGGGCTAGCAGAAAATATGAGTCAGACCCCTGCTGTCCATTCAGCAGCAGTGTGGGTGGGGGAGCCAACCCTGGACAGCAGGACCATTACTCAGCTGGATCCCAGGTCTCAGGGGTGGCTGGCTGGGCCTTGGCTGATGCTGCTGCCAACAACCCTGCACTTCATCTATCTAGACCTGGGTCGTATTCTCTAGGCACAAAATGGAAGAAAACAGACTGATATAGGGAGGGACTCTGAACCTTGTTCAATAAGAAACTCTCGTTTTTGTTTACCATTGCAAAGGGTTTTGCTACTTTGTGCACTAATTAATACGACCCTGAAGATAGTAGGAATACCATCTATACCTAACCTCAATTGCCAGTCTTTACCATTCACGCTTGTCTGTAAATATTTGAAGGTATATGCAATCTTTCTGAACCTATACCCTCCTCTGTCACTATCTAAGGTTCTGTTTTATGTACCAACCACACTGCCATAACATACCAATTAATCCCACTGTGCAGAAAATCTAATGGAAGCTCTTCTTTGTGATTGACAGCAGAACTGATTTGATCATATTAATCTAATAAGAGTGTTTCCAGGTGTTAACGTATATATCCAGCAGTCCTTACAACAGTAATTTCCTTACCTATTTTACATTGCAATACGTTTATGTAAATATTTCAAAGCAAATGCTGAGATTTCAGGGACTGAAACAGGCTAAATGGGGCTGGCTGATTGGGCTGGAATCCCGTGGGGGTTGCGGTAACCCAAATATCGGCTCCCTTGTCATAAAGCCTGCTATGAAATAGGAATGCGCGTTAAAAATAAGATGGAGACGAGCTCCTGGCTCAAAGAAGATCCGGGATGCCACAGCCGTTTCGAAAAACGAAACGTGACCGGGATGGACACGACATCCCCGACCCCATGCTTAACGAGAGAGTTTTATTTTTTGCCCTATAGTGATGAATTCGGCGTGTTGTGCTTGGCTGCTGCTCGTTTACCTGCCAACGAAGTTCTCCAACACCGAGCTTTTGCCAGCGCTCTGTCCGCCGACTACCGCGATCTGTGGCAGGTCAAGATTGCAGCTCTGACCGATGCCGCTGAATGCGTCCTGAAGCTTGTTGACCAGCGGGATCAAGTCCTCCATTCCCCGGTTACCCATGGTGCTTGCGGGCGGGGCTCAAGATGAGAGAGAAGGAAGTAGGTGGTTATATATTTAGTCCAGTGCTACCGTGTTTGTTGATGTAGTAGTCATCTAGCCACGCATTGCCCCGAGCAAAGCAAGGGTCGATTCGAGAGAGAGAGAGAGAGAGAGAGAGAGAGAGTCAGAGTAGGATTGCGCAGTTGCTTGCCACCAACACCGCACACACACCGTTTTCTTCAAGGGCATTTGGGTATTAAAGTCCTTGATAAAACCCCGCTCTAAAAGCACATAATATAAAACCGTGCATTGAATTGTAGACAGGCTAATTCCATAGGTTTGGCTACATGCATCAAGACGAAAAGTGACCTACCCACACCAAATGATTCGCATCGAAAATGATGTGTTTTGCTTACAGGCAACACGTTAACAAATAAATCACAACATTCATTCTATTCTTTATCTATAGCCATTTCTCATTTACCCTTTCTCAAGGATTCCTTGGAGTTTGAAGAACAGGCAGATCCAATCCAAAATCCGGATCCAAACGCAATTATAGCCTACAAGCAACCCCACCTGCTGTAACTGAGCATCGGCTTAATGTGAATGTCCAGTGCTAAATAATGATGTTTTGGTAGCGTTGTTATGCTCAGATGGACTTCAAAGCCTCATTCCGAACACAAATTCGCCTCTATAACGGATTAACCATATTTATTTTATGCAACCGCGACAATTGCGATGCTCGCCGCGCCTGGTAATAAGATTGACATATGAGGTGCCCAATGACAGCAGGGGAGTTATGGTCGCGGCACGGTAGGCCTATAGGCAGAGCGCACACAGGTTAGGCAAAACAAACCCGCCCCCTGTTTACATCGTGCCAGCTTTGCGGTCGTGACTCACGGCTGCGAATCACCACACTGAGCATGATTGGTTGGATGCGCTCCTTCAGTCCCCTGCAGTGAGAGAAAAAATAACATTTCGAATATTTGAGGCTGAAGGACACTGACACATTCATGTCCAACTCACCCTCACCCCTTTCCACCATGGCCTCTTCTATAGTGTGTGATTAGTGCATAGATAATGTATTTTGTTAGATGGCAATGCATTCTGTTCCATAGCAGGTGGCCAGTATAGTGGTCGCTACAGTCATTTTGTAGGCTAGGGCTAGGCTACTGTAGGCCATAAGGATGGCTGGAGAAGAAAGTCATGCAGAGAGGACAAGGCACAGCATGCCTATTTTAACCTCACCAGGTCAACATCTGTGTTAGATAAAAGCCATTTTGTTTCCTCAATTCATTGTAACAATAGCTATACCCTACATTTGACATGCTCATTAAACATCAGCATTAGAATCAGTTGCTAAATGTGATTTGGCATTAGGCCTACTAATTGTCTTTACCCTGGTGGGGGCAGGCATGGCACACTCTAACAGGTGAACATTCCAAACAGCTAAAGAACTCTGCTACAGGATGACCAAAGCAAATCAAATTGTATTTGTCACATGCTTTGTAAACAACAGGTGAAGACTAACAGTGAAATACTTACTTACAGATACTTTTCCAACAATGCAGAGTTAAAGATCTAAAAAAATAGAAATAGTAACAAGGAATAAATACACAGTGAATAATGAATAACAATAACGTGTAAAAAATAACATGGCTATATACAGGGAGTAGAAAATAACATGTCTATATAAGGGAGTACCAGTACCAAGTCGATGTGCAGGGGTACCAGGTAATTGAGGTAGCTTTGTGCATATAGGTAGGGGTAAAGTGACTAGGTGTCCCATTCAAAACCCTGGATCCTCCAATTCTTCTTGCACTGTTGCACCAACTAGCCTGTCATCTCCCTACACAGTAGGCTACAGCACTGTGGTGAATGCTGGTACACATACTGTATGTTGCTATGTTTCAGGTTTTCCACCAGAGGGCAGAGTTAATCCAGATTCAACACGGCCTCTTTACCAGTCACTTGATCGTCAATTAATCTTGGAATCCACATAAATCACACAATATTAAGATATCTTGCAGATTGTCATATTTTGTGGAGGCAGAGTGGAGTTGGTTTTGTGCCAAGTAGGCAACCACCAATACACCATCAACACTCACCAAAACTCCTGTCCTTTCAGAAAATATCAGGATTTATTACAAACACTGTCTAAAATGCAAAATGCCCAACTCAGGGAAATCTGGGATTCAAACAACAACAAAACTGGAACCAAGCCCAGATTTCCCCCTTTAAATATCCAGAGGAGCATCATTGGTTGATTGATTGATTGACTAGTACCTTGCTAGCCATCTCCAGTTTAGCCCAGTGATCCTACTGGTGAGCAGAGAGGGGCTACCCCAGCCAGGGTCAGAGGAGGCTGGTGGGAGGAGCGATAGGAGGACAGGCTCATTGTAAAGACTGGAATGGAATAAATGAAACGTATCAAACACATCAAACATATAGAAACCACGTTGACTCCGTTCCATTTATTCAAATAATAAAGAAGTAAAATATACAGTCAAAATATATATAATATATATATTTACCCCAAAAAAACAGAACAGTTTGGGGTCGCATGGGTTGAGAGGTGTGAACAGTTTGGGGTCACATGGGTTGAAGGATGGGGGTTTGTTACTTGGCCGATAAATTACGATGAATGACAATATCCATCCGGTCCTTTGCCACCTAGGAAATGTGAGTGACCGGACCTTCTCAAATAGTATTTGAGTATCCCTGCTCTAAATGGTATAGGTGCTACTGCTGCTGATGCTCAGTGTTGTTGGGGTCAAAAATCACTTAATGTGTCCACGAGAAAACAATGGGAGGTTTTAAATTCAGTAGCTTTATTTTAATTCATCCCCTGAATTTAAATAGAATTTACCCCTACCCTACTGCTACTTTTCTCCCCCAAATGAGATGGAAATGTTGCTTACGTCGGCAGTTTACTAGATCTGCGGGGACTAATATACAGATCAATATTATGTACAGTTATGGATTGTCTTCGTCTTATTTACGACTCCTTCCATCTGTGCAGGTCTCTCCAGACTACTTGGCGGAAGGAGAGTTATGATTCCCTTACCTCTTTCTTCATCCTCCTCTCCCTCACCATTTTGATGGCAGACTCTAATTCTTAGATTAGCTTCGCCAGAGTTCCCTGTTGTTAAGCTGTCATCAATGAGGAAAACAGTTGTCCCTTAAATAACATGCACAAAACACCTTCCCCATGCACGTACTGTACACACACACACAAAATGAATACACACACAAAACCAACACACAGACACACACAAAAACACACATACATACACACGTACAGAGGTTGTATGGCTAGTGGAGTGTGCTTGGCTGCATGACATAGCCAAAGTATGAAAATAGGAATTTATTGGGGCAGAGGTCCTGGGTTCGAGCCTCGGTGTGAGCCGAAACAGGAGGAAGTAGTACTCGCTAAGCAAGCACCGTGACGTCCTTTACAGTAGCAAATGTCAGATACGAAAATAACATCTCTGAATCAACATTATGACAGTCAGTGACTCTGTGACTGAACAACACTTCCAGTAAGAGAAGTAGGAGGGCTATAGTGTGTGATCCACCATCATCACACCTGGCAGACAGAAGGCAGACGCTCTTTAATCCTTACAGACAAAAACATCCCATCGAATCCTACCTCCTGAAGGCTCAATTAGGACTCAACAAAACACCCCCGGTATCCACCCCAGTACCCAGTACCAGTACTACTGTAGCAACCTTGAAGGCTACCTTTCCCAGAAACATGAATCAAAAGTAATGAGTCTTTTATGTTTTCACCAATCTTACATTATGGTATAGCGTATGTACTCACATACATGTAACGCTACATGTAGCAAAGTAAACACTGAGGTAACTGAAGAATGTCTGTGTATGTCTCACCCTGTATATCAGAGACCAATCAAGCAGCGCCACAATGTAAATGAACCTTTACCCCTATACATTACGTTTCATACCAGTGAATGGGTCGGTCCACGAAATGAGTGACTTTTGCGTCTCTAGAAATTGTGCACCAGTATTGAATTTTAAAAATGTGTTATATTAAATGAAGTGCCCTTTATATACATGTAGACCACTTCTAGGAAGACTTTCACCCACTTAATCCCAACATTTCTCCAAGTTTCACCATCTTTGTCAAGCCCTAGTTATTTTGTTGCTTTGACAATGTCATTTCTGAAGATGATTATTATTTATTTCATGTGATTAGTGATTCATTTACATCTGTCCCTCCTTTTAAGCTCAACCCTGATATGTGAACTGAACTTTCGTTTTAATATGCTGAAACTATTCCTTTTAAATATTTTTTTCAAAAGACACATTGAACATGTAATAGTCAAATCATAGAGTAAAAGCAGGGGAGCTGGTTCTACACTTTTTGGACATTTTGTGGTGGAAAACTGAGCATGTCAAGCATAACACGTCAACCCTGTTACCCATTTTAACAATTTCATATTTTTTTTGTGAAGCTAGCATTCAATTGCCACTCAATTGCCCTGTCACAAGGGGATTTATGGCTGATTTAAGAAGAAATCGTCAACCCTGTTACGGTCAACCCTGTTACGGTAAATCCTGTTACTTTATTTGGCACTTAATAGGCACTTACTATAGTAATTTTTTTATTTAACCTCTTGAGATGGGAAAACATGTTTTTTATTAAGTTGAACATGCTGCTGGGTTTTTCACACAACAGTTTCCCGTGTGTATCTAGAATGGTTCACAACCCAAAGGACATTCAGCCAAATTGACACAACTGTGGGAAGCATTGGAGTCAACATTGTCCAGCATCTCTGTGGAACGCTTTCGACACCTTATAGAGTCCATGCCCAGACGAATTGAGGCTTTTCTGAGGGCAAAAGGGGGTGCAACTCAATATTAAGAAGGTGTTCCAAATGCGGTGGTCAGTCAAAATGAGAAAAGGGTGTTTAGCCCCCTCAAGCCAATGTCTCCACGCTTTCAGGGCTTTGACCACCGCCAACAACTCCCGGTCCCCCACATCATAGTTGCGCTCCGCCGGGCTGAGCTTCTTCGAAAAGAAAGCACAGGGGCGGAGCTTGGGTGGCGTGCCCGAGCGCTGAGAAAGTACAGCGCCTATCCCAGCCTCGGATGCGTCCACCTCAACCGTGAAGGCCAAGGAGGGATCCGGATGAGCCAGCACTGGAGCCGAGGTAAACAGGTCCTTCAGGCGACTAAAAGCCCTGTCCGCCTCAGCTGACCACTGCAGACGCACCGGTCCCCCCTTCAGCAACAAGGTAATGGAAGCCGCTACCTGACCAAAGCCCCGGATAAACCTCCGGTAGTAGTTGGCCAACCCCAAGAAACGCTGCACCTCCTTTACCGTGGTTGGAGTCGCCCAATTACGCACGGCCGAAATGCGGTCACTCTCCATCCTCACCCCAGACGCGGACATGTGGTACCTTAGGAAGGCGATGGACTCCTGAAAGAACAGGCATTTCTCTGCCTTAGCATACAGGTCATGCTCCAACAGTCTTTCAAGCTCTTTAGTGGAGTATATAAGTATGTCATCAATATACACCACTACCCCTTGTCCGTGCAGGTCCCTGAAAATCTCATCCACAAATGATTGGAAGACTGATGGAGCATTCATTAACCCGTATGGCATGACAAGATACTCATAATGTCCAGAGGTGGTACTAAATGCCGTCTTCCACTCATCTCCCTCCCGGATACGCACTAGGTTGTACGCGCTCCTGAGATCCAATTTTGTGAAGAAGCGTGCCCCGTGCAATGATTCCGTCATACTAGCTATCAGGGGTAATGGATAGCTGTACTTGATGGTAATCTGATTTAAGACACGGTAATCAATGCACAGGCGTAAACCACCATCCTTCTTCACAAAAAAGAATCTCGAGGAGACAGGTGAAGTGGATGGCCGAATGTATCCCTGTCTCAGAGACTCGTGACATATGTCTCCATAGCCACCCTCTCTTCCTGAGACAAAGGATACACGTGACTCCGGGGAAGTGCAGCTCCTACCTGGAGATTTATCGCGCAATCCCCCGGACGATGAGGTGGTAATTTAGTCACCCTCTTTTTACTGAAGGCGATAGCCAAATCGGCATACTCGGCAGGAATGTGCATAGTGGAAACCTGGTTTGGACTTTCCACCGTAGTTGCCCCCAAGGAAACTTCTTTACACCTCCCTGAACACTGACCGGACCATCCCTTAAGAGCCCTCTGTTGCCATGAAATCGTGGGGTCATGAATGGTTAACCAGGGAAGTCCCAACACCACAGGATACGCAGGAGAATCAATCAGATAGAGGCTAATCCTCTCCTCATGACCCCCCTGCGTCCTCATCAGAAGTGGGGTGGTGACCTCCCTGATTATGCCTGACCCTAACGGGCGACTATCTAATGCGTGCACAGGGAAAGGTTTATCAACAGACACAGTAGGAATCCCTAAACTACGAGCATACTGGCGATCAATAAAATTCCCAGCCGCGCCTGAATCTACTAGCGCCTTATGCTGGGAATGGGGGGAAACTTCTGGAAAAACAATATCTATACACAAATTAGCAACAGGAGGCTCTGGGTGAGTCGGGTGCCTACTCACCTGAGACGGTCGACCAATGCTCTGCCTGCTGCCTCGACCTCCTGAGGACCCTCCCCAGCACCGACCAGCGGTGTGTCCTCTGCGGCCACAGTTGGTGCAGGGGACGGTCCCTCTCCCAGTCTCCCTAACCGCAGCACCTCCGAGCTCCATGGGGGTAGACTCGGAGGTGCTGGTGGATGGAATGGACATCCCCCGATCAGAACGTCCGCGGGCTGCCAACAGGTTATCCAACCTGATGGACATGTCCACCAGTTGGTCCAGGGTGAGATCGGTGTCCCTGCAGGCCAGCTCCCGACGGACGTCCTCCCTTAAGCTGCAGCGATAATGGTAGATCAGGGCCCTCTCATTCCATCCCGCGCTGGCTGCTAAAGTTCTGAATTCCAGCGCAAACTCCTGCGCGCTCCTCATCTCCTGTCGTAGGTGGAACAGACGTTCACCCGCCGCTCTCCCCTCTGGTGGATGATCGAATACCGGGTGAAATCCTCGTAGCGGACAGTACTTGCGTCTATTCCTCCCCACTCTGCGTTGGCCCATTCCAGCGCCTTCCCCAATAGACAGGAGATGAGGGCGGACACGCTCTCGTATCCCGAGGGCGCCAGGTGAATGGTGGCCAGGTAAAGCTCGACCTGGAGGAGAAATCCCTGGCACCCGGCAGGTGTTCCGTCATATGTCCTCGGGAGCAAGAGCCGAATCCCACTGGACCCAGATGGCGAAGCGGTGACCAGTGTTGTAGGTGGGTGAGTGGTTGGAGATGGTGACGGGATACCACCTCTCTCCCATCGTTCCATTGTCTGGAATACTCGTTCCATGGTGACCCAGAGAGTCTGAATCATTCATTCCTGACGTTGGACTCGTTCCTCCATCGTCTCGGTTACTCCGGCTGCTCCTGCTGACTCCATAGTGGTGCGTGTTTCTGTCACGAATGTCGGTGGAATGCGGTAGGCCAGAGTCAAGCGCAGGACACAGAATGAGATGAAGAACCACTTTACTGAGTAGTAAAGAAATACAAGCAAAACCCTCCAAAACAACAAAGGAGGAGCAAAACCCGCTCACAAAATGACACTCGTACAATCAAATAAACACGCACACCAAACAGTGGACGTGAACAGGTTAAATAGGAAGACAAACTACCATAATGGGGAACAGGTGTGCAACAACAGACAACAATCAAATGAACATAGAAACATCTAACATAGAGCGGCAGCAGCTAGTACTCCGGTGACGACGAACGCCGAAGCCTGCCCGAGCCAGAAGGAAGGGCAGTCTCGGCAGAATCCGTGACAACTGGTCCAAGAGAAGATTTCAGTTTGAGTTTCTATGGTTATCCTCCTTGCTGTTATTTTCTTCACTCCATCTGATCTTGCTGTCCATAATCCTCCTAGAAAATCTGCCACGCTCAACTCTTAAAAGGATATGCGTCTTTACGTGAGGTATCCCAGGAGTAGTCAAACCAGTTAGACTGCTGATAAATCTAAAGAAATACCATTATATGCCTTTGCTGTCTACTATTATGTTGTTTACTTTGCGTCCCAGTCCTACCATTTTCTCTGTGGCGACTATGAGGCAGTGGGCCTCAAAAACACATTGGAGAGGTGGACAAATGTGTGGCAAAAACACTGCTGGAGTTTCCACAGTGAAACATTACGTATATGAGCCAACCAGCGGAGTTTGTGTTTGATATTGTGGAATGAACGCTTTTCTGTGAGTGCGTGGTGAATTTGAGTTGGAAGCAAGAGGGGTGGAGGACTTGGGGGGGAGGGAATAGAAAATAAATAATCACTCAAGCAGAGTTTTGAATTTGAGTTGACCGTAGCTTTGCCAATTGTAAATATGCAAAAAAAAACATGGAGCGTTTGTTATGATCTTAGTGATTCTCCCTGCTGCCTCTCTGAGGGGTTTTTCTATAATGGGCTATCGTGTCTGAGCCATGTGGTTCTAACCTGCACCACTGGCCCCGCCCTCTACAGTCATAACACCTGCTAACAAAGTGTCCTGTTCCCCACAGACCCATTAGGAGTGTGTGTGTGTGTGTGTGTGTGTGTGTGTGTAGCCTGGTCTCATAGACGAGACGTAACATAGTAAACGGAAATATGGTACACTCAAATTAGTGTGATAGCCTATGTTGCGTTTGGTGGTGACATAAGACAGAAGGTTACTTAAGGCAAAAACTAAAGGAGGGTGGTTGGTCAGGGTGGATGGGTGGGTATATAACGCAAACGTCTAGCAACCCCAAGGTTGCGTGTTTTGAATTAGCAACTACTTACTACTTGTTAGCTATTTTGCAAATACTTAGTAGAGTATGTTAGCTAACCCTTACCTAAACACTTTAACCTAACTCCTAACCCTAACCTTAACCCTAACACCTAACCCAGCTAACGTTAGCCACCTAGCGAACGTTAGCATTAGCCACCTAGCTAACTTTAGCCACAACAAATTGGAATTTGTAACATATCGTATGTATTGCAAATTCGTAACATATTGTACGAATTACAATTCATAACATATCATACGAATTGTAATTCGTAACATATCATACAAAATAGATAATAGACATCCACAAATGAATACATACCATACAAAACATAACATATCATACTAAATGGAGGGAGACTGTGTGCTTCACATAACTGCCCTACAGACCAACAGACAGACGGGGTGACACACGTGCAATGTCCACCTGGTACAAAACAGGGGTTCTTATGTCTCCAAATCACCAAATCAAACCAAAGGGCATGGCCCATTTCTATACTGCTCCCCCAGGATGAAGACCCCAACCTGGTGGCAGGCCAGGGAGATAGGAAGAGGGAGAGAAGAGAGTGTGGCTAGCCAGGGGGAGAGCAGTGGGGGGAGAGGGAGGCAGGGAGAGACGAGGGAGGTGGGACACAGGTCCCTGCATGTGAGGGGAAAGAAAGAGGATGTGACTAAAGGCTTGCCTCAACGTTCTGATACACAAGAGTGGGATGATGTCCAGTTAAATATTCCCTAATTATCCCCATCCTTCAGCTAAATTTATAATGCCAGAGTGTAGCAGCCAGATAAAGAAAACTATGGGTTAGGGAGGAAGGAAGGACCATCTACCCTCACCACATTCCTAATCTTAACCACCCTCCAGACATCTTGCCATGGTAGAGCAGAGTGCCAGACGGCCCTCAGGTGTACAGGTGAACTGGGTTGCCCTTAGATCTGGGACCAGGCTAAACTGTGTTGGCCTGCTGTGGGGGGAAAGGGGTGAATGGCAGCTGGGATTCCCAGACCTGTTTGGACTAAAGCAAGCAGACAGCGTGGTATGGTGCATTCGCTGAGCCTAAGACCAGAGCTTACATGTACACTTAATATGCAGGTGGATAGGATGCTACCTAACTGGTGATAAATCCAAGAGATATTGGACTTGGTGTCTGGGGAGAGTTTAATCATATGGTGATTTAATGATAGTTATATCAGCTATGAAGTAAACACTGAGTGGCCATCGTTACTTCTACAAAAAGGGGACCAGACAACAGACGCATAAAGATGTCTAATAAAAACCAGTGTTTTGATAAATAACTGCAGACAAACAACTATTACAGACAGACAATAAAACACTGACAGGAAAAAACTAACTGTGTTGATTTCCCCTGATACTGTGTTATATTTACTCTCTGTCCCAAAACACATGGTGTCACACCAGCTACCCCCCAGACCCGTCCCCATCCCCCCCAGACCCGTCCCCATCCCCCCCAGACCCATGTCCCCTCCACCCTCTGCTAGTTGACAGTATAAATATCTAACTCGCAGTGTGTTCTAACTCAGAGACCAACAGACACTGACCAGAAACCAGAGAGTGAGAAGATGCAGAACAATAACCCAGACAAAAAGAAATGAAAGCAAAGTGAGAAATAAAGAGACTGAGCAAGGAATCCAACAGCAAGGAATCCACATTCTGAATGGTTCCATCCCAGATCCAATCTGAAACCCAGGTGACCCATCCACCCGTCCTTCAGAAGGTGGCTCCCGGTAGCCTTGTGTCTGTCCTGCCTGGTGCTGTCTACCCATGGCCAGGACAGAGCCTCCCTGCGACGCTCAAATGACAACACCGGGCGCTGCCAGTACACCTTCACAGTGGACAACCCTGCCGAGGCCAGCTGCCCTGGGGCCAGAGGAGGACCTGAGATGGAGGGGGTCGTCTCGTCTCACACTACTGGAGGCCCTGGTCAGCAGGCTGCTGGGAGGCGAGGGAGCCGGGGTAGAGGGGCCACGGCTGGGGGTGACAAGGCCATCCAGGAGGTGTACTCCCAGGCCATGGGAGAGAAGAGCCCGCTGCATGAGGACAAGGAGCAGCTGAACAGGCAGGTGCAGGAACTCCAGAGGAGGGTGGATGAGCTGAGTGTGGAGGCTGAGACACTGAGACAGACACCCTGCCACCAGTCCCAGGCCGCTGGAGCAGGACTGCCACTGCACAAGCTCAACCAGAGCCCAGCCAGTGGTGGGTTGCTACTGTCAACATCACAACTGAACCCCTGAACTGTGTGATGATGCATGATTATATGTGTGACTTAGGAACTGTGGATGGCGAGTGTTTGTTTAATTGATCGGGACGAAATCAAAGTGTTGTAATGTAAACTGGGTGGAGTACAAGTCAGGTTTCTGTTAGCTGTGCTTGGTTGCATTAGCGGAATGGTATTAACGACACAGAAGCTCCTTTTACAGCCCTGTCACTCATGCATGTTACATGTCAGTTTAAGTGTCTGTTATCCTATTGGGGACCGTGCCGTGCTGCAGGTTAAATGACTGTGGCACCTAATAAGAGGCTTTCATGTTATCAGCGTGTCATCTTTGAATGTGTTTAGGTTTATCGATACTGTATGTTTTGAGTTTATGACTTCAGCCACCAGATCAAACATTAAATAAAACTATTTTTTATCTCCCTCCCTCTCCCTGTCTCTCTCTCTATCCCCCTCTGTCAGACCCTGGCTATGCCGCCTATCAGGAGATGAAGGCCGAGGTGACCGAGGTCCATGCATCAGTCTCATTCAAGAAGCTGGGCAGAACCACACAGGTATGACCTTCCTGACTCCCACTCATATCTATCTATCTCCCCCTGGTGGCTTCTTAGAGTCACTATACACCAGAGCATATGAGCGGAGTGGAGCGTGAGCGGACGGATTTTGAACAGAGCGCAGAGCGGCATTTTTAAAAGGACGGAGCGTCGCCCTATGTCCCGCTCCAATTTCGCTCGCTCACACCAAGAGTCTGAAGCATGCTCAAGCCTGACCCAGAATCCATCTGTTTAATTTAATTTGTGTCGTCCAAGAATTTGTATTTTATAGAGCGAGGAGCAGCAGCAGCAACAAGAGAAAAGCGTTGAGGAATTCAAAAGTTTATTCACTGCAGGCAAAGGCCCAACCATAACAAGGGAGAGAAAAAGAGAGCTGGATGTAGCATTTTAAAAAATGATTTTCATGGACTATGAACCGCTGAGTAAAGGAGAACGCGAAGGGATGCAACACTTCGCCAGCGCAGCTCAACCGGGCTACACCCCCCCAAGAAACTATGATAAATCAGTACTTTACTTTGTCAAATTTACATCTGAGATGCCCCATTCACATGCTTCAGCTGGCGATCAAAAACGCCGTTAACGAGCACGACAACATTAATAGGCTGTTAGTGAAAGTCGGGCACCTGGTGAAAAGTGTACGCAAGAGCACAGAGGAAACCGACCAATTAGGTGTCCGCCCCACAAATGCCTGCGCCATTTGATGGAGCAGCCAGCTGCGGATGATTCAGTCGTTCATCCGGTTGTTCCAAAAAGACCCGTTATGGCAAAACAAACTCAAGTCTAATGTTTCTAACATCACCCTGAATCAAGTACCGCAGCTGACGCACCTTGTCCGTGTGCTGACACCACTAGCAGACCTCACAGACAAAATGCAGAAGGAGCTGGGGAACCTGGGGATGATCCTCCCTGCTGTCACATAAATCAAATCCCTGCTCACCGATTACACTCACGCTGCACTTCCAATGGGCATCGCTGCTTTTGCAGAAACATTGGCAAACAACGTGTCAATTCGCTATGGAATATACTATACTGATTAACATCTCATTTTAGCGTCAGTGTTAGATCCCCGTTTCAAGACAGAATGGATAATCCGAGATGAGTCTGTATGCAACAAATTCGGGGAGATAAATTAAGGCTGTGGTTTAAGCTAAAAGTGAAATACATGCAGATTTCGTTCCTTTTTTGGAGTGAGCGGGGGCGATTTGAGTGGAGCGCGATGCAAACGTGAGCGTGAGGATAATGAGGGATGCGATGTGCTTGACGGGGGGAGAGGGGAACACTCCGTCGAGGAGCGAGATTTCACGCCCTCCATCTTGTATACACCAAACTATATAGATGCATGTCACCTCTCACAATCCAAATTCTTTTCAGAGATTATCATAAAGATATGGATAGCTTTGTGACATTTACTGTATATTTCACATAGCACAATTTCCAATGTGTAGAAGTTTGAATTGAATGTAACTAACCTCTATCTGTTTGTCCAGGCTGTGGTGAGCTGGTGTCTGTAGGAGAGCCTGTCCTGCACCGGAAGGCTGACAGCATCACAGGGAAGTACGGGGTGTGGCTGCAGGACCCTGAGCCCATGGCCCCCCATACGGCAACAAGACGCTGTGGCGCATCGACACGGTGGGCAAGGACGTCCGCCAGCTGTTTGCATACGAGGACATGGAGCAGTTCGCCAAGGGCTTCCCCATGAAGGTTCTGGTGCTGCCGGTGCCCATGGAGAGCACAGGGGCCACCCTGTACCGCGACTCCCTCTACTGCGCTACGACCTGGCCTCCGAGAGCCTGGCGGCCCGTCTGGAGCTCCCCCACGCCAGCTTACACGGCCAGCACACCTACTCTTGGGGTGGCTACACAGACATCGACCTGGCGGTGGACGAGCAGGGCCTGTGGGCCATCTATAGCACCAGCTCATGTTTCAGAGGACGCATGAATCGACCTTCGCCTCTCCCGAGCCCGTTGGGGAGTTACAGGGATGAGACAAGATTGCAATTGGGGAGAAAAAGGGGGTAAAATACAACAACAAAAAGGTACTGTATTGTCTATGTTAATTCTCTACTAAAGTTGTATCTTCACTGTTGTGTATTATATGTGCTCCAATTACCATTGTCATTTTATCTCTCAATAACATTTTAATGATAGAGATCCCTAAAAAGTTGATCAGTCTGCATTTGTTTTGTTCAATAAATTACAGTGGGACAATTTGCACAGAATATCATTCATGACCACACATACACAAATTGGAGGATATAACTGCATGTTAAAAACCTCCAAAGAAAAAGTGTCATGTTTTTTTTGTCCCTTGTGTATTTCCATTTGCTGTATTTCCGTTTACTGAATCAATTTAATTAATTCCAAAGCCTTGAGATACACATTAAACTACAGAATTAGCCACAGTACATGAATTGCAGAGCATTTTCAACAGAGACTTTGTAGGTTTGTTTTTAACCTGTCATGTGGTGCCATCTGCTGGCCATCAGTTGACTTGTCTAGTATCAGATCAAGGAGTTGTACAACAACATTACAGCTATGTAACCTGGAATCTGCACTGAGACATATTCAGTGTGTATTCCAGGTTAACAGCTACACTACATGGGCAAAAGTATGTGAACATCTCATTCCAAAATCATTGTCATTAATATGTAGTTGGTCCCCCTTTGATGCTTTAACAGCCTCCAATCTTCTGGGAAGGCTTTCCACTAGATGTTGCAACATTGCTGTGGGGACTTGCTTCCATTCAGCCACAGGAGCATTAGTGAGGTCGGGCACTGATGTTGGGCGATTAGGCCTGGCTCGCAGTCAGCGTTCCAATTCATCCCAAAGGTGTTCGATGGGGTTGAGGTCAGGGCTCTGTGCAGGCCAGTTCTTCCACACCGATCTAGACAAACCATTTCGTATGGACCTCACTTTGTGCATGGGGGCATTGTCATGCTGAAACAGGAAAGTGCCTTCCCCAAACTGTTGCCACAAAGTTGGAAGCACAGAATCGTCTACAATGTCATTGTATGCTGTAGCGTTAAGATTTCCCTTCTGGAACTAAGGAGCCCGAACCATGAAAAACAGCCCCAGACCATTATTCCTCCTCCACCAAAATGTACAGTTGGCACTATGCAATGGGGCAGGTAGCGTTCTCCTGGCAACCACCAAACCCAGATTCGTCCGTCGGACTGCCAGATGGTGAAGCGTGATTCATCACTCCAGAGAACACGTTTCCACTGCTCTAGAGTCCAATGGCGGAAGCTTTACACCACTCCAACCGACGCTTGGCATTGCGCATGGTGTTCTTTAGGCTTGTGTGCGGCTGCTCGGCCATGGAAACACATTTCATGAAGCTCCCGACGAACAGTTCTTGTGCTGACGTTGCCTCCAGAGGCAGTTTGGAACTCGTAGTGAGTGTTGCAACCGAGGACAGACGATTTTCTTTCATTCTCACAGGCTCACCCACAGGATTTCACTTCCTGTCCAACAATAAGATAAAGAAATAAACTATGTGGTTTGATACTTCCCTAAGTTTTATTCTTTTTTTAGTGTGAAGGTGATAGGTTAGCAACGTCTGTCACGCCTTCCCAGTAGAACATGTGACACACAAAACAATATCATCAATTCTGATCCACCCATCAAAAAAATCTATTTTCAAACTATAATAGCTCTGGGAGCTATGTAAAGTAAAAATAAATATACCCATCCATTGAGTCAGTGCATAAATGCCATAGTGCATATTAGAACTATTAGGCTGGGCCTTTTCATCAACTGTTACTGTATGACACTTGGTAATTGGTAGAATAGAATGAAATACTGTAAATGCATTGCATACCCCTCAAAAAGATAAACAGAGAACATTTTTCCCAATTGTGTTGACAATTACATTTTCATATGCTATTCTAGCTCATTCTAAAACAGAATACAACCATTCTCTTGGCCAGTTGTGCTTTTGCTAAGGCAATACAAATATGCATTTCCCACATAGAGCATAAGAAACCAAACTGATGCCCAGCACTGTCCATTATCTTAATGAACGTAATTGCGCATAGGCTACTCATCTACATAGTGCAAAGTGTGCAGACGGACCACTGAGGGACATTATGCAGGACTAGAGAGGAACCATCTGTCGTGTACTGATATGACGTCACCATGTCAGTAAGAATGCTGGGTTCTTGATGCACCGACAGTCATGGAGTAAACCGGGCTATCCTAAAATAGGACAAAAGTAAGTCAAATCAAATCACATCAAATGTTATTTGTCACATGCGCTGAATACAACCCAGTGTAGACTTTACCGTGAAACGCTTATTACTACCCATTTCACAAAAATGCAGAGTAAAAACAAAACGTTTTATTTTTTTTATGGGGGAAAAATGAAATAGTAACAGAATAAAATAATACTAACGAGGCTATTTACAAGGAGTACCGGTACCAAGTCAATGTGCAGGGGTACAAGGTAGTTGAGGTAATTTAGGTAATATGTACAGTACCGGTCAAAACTTTACACCTACTCATTCAAGGGTTTTTCTTTATTTTTACTATTTTCTACATTGTAGAATAATAGTGAAGATATCAAAACTATGAAATAACACACATGTAGTAACCAAAAAAGTGTTAAACAAATGAAAATATATTTTATATTTGAGATTCTTCAAAGTAGCCACCCTTTGCCTTGATGACAGCTTTGCACACTCTTGGCATTCTCTCAACCAGCTTCATAAGGTAGTCACCTGGAATGCTTTTCCAACAAATGATAGTCCCACTAAGCGCCACCCAGATGGGATGGCGTATCGCTGCAGAATGCTGTGGTAGCCCTGCTGGTTAAGTGTGCCTTGAATTCTAAATAAATCACAGACAGTGTCACCAGCAAAGCACCCCCACACCATCACACCTCCTCCTCCATGCTTCATGGTGGGAACCACACATGCAGGGATCATCCGTTCATCTACTCTGCGTCTCACAAAGACACAGCGGTTGGAACCAAAAATCTCAAATTTGGACTCATCAGACCAAAGGACAGATTTCCACCAGTCTAATGTCCATTGCTCATGTTTCTTGGCTCATCTTCTGATTGGTGTCCTTTAGTAGTGGTTTCTTTGCAGCAATTCAACCATGAAGGCCTTATTCACACAGTTTCCTCTGAACAGTTGATGTTGAGATGTGTCTGTTACTTGAACTCTGTGAAGCATTTATTTGGGCTGCAATCTGAGGTGCAGTTAATTGCCGATTTCTGAGACTGGTAACTCGAATGAACTTATCCTCTGCAGCAGAGCTAACTCTGGGTCTTCCTTTCCTGTGGCGGTCCTCCTGATAGCCAGTTTCATCACCAACCCTTACACCCTCTCTGTAGCTGGGGTATCCATGACTACACCCGTCTGCACCACAGAGCTGGGCCGAGCCGCCAAACTCAGCTGTGAATTTAGCAGGAGCAACATAAAGATGATCACCCTGTCCATCGACAATCTGGAGGACCACCGTGGCTGGACCAAGGTTTAGGCTGCTTCCCAAATGGCACCCTATTCTCTTTATAGAGCACTACTTTTGATCAGGGCCCATGGAATAGGGTACCATTTGGGACACCCCCATAGTTTTGAGTGCCTATACCAATGACCAGTGCATTTAGTAATAGAGGGCTGTTCTGTGAACCTGTAAGACATCCTGGCCTACAATAATGAGGAAGGAGTCTGGCTGTGCATTCCTCTTCCCCATCATAGCAGACAGTCACAGGAAGCTGGCAGTGGCCCTGGGCATGCTGGACCCTGATGAGAAGGACAAGGACGGCATGCCCCTTACTGTCACTGTGTGAGTGTCAAAACACACACACGCATGCATGCATGCATACACACCTACAGGCACACACACACTCTCTCTCAGACAGCCTTTCTCTCTCTCTTTCTTTCTTCCTGCCAGTCTCTCTCCACTGTTCCTCAGTTTCCGCTATGACTCATTGGCCCACCATGAGATCATCCTGCTCTTTCTTGTGCTCTATTTCCCATAAACGTTACTTATTCATGCTGATGCAAGCAGCCCCTCTTCACTGGCTAATATGAGTTAGCTACCCCTCCCACCCAGGCCCCACCACCCCGTCTCACAAAAACACACACTACCTCAGCCCCTTGCTGGATACGATGACGTAATCTTCTTGTATGTATCAGTGAGGGTGATATCACCACTATAGACAATCAGTTAACATTAGCATTCATCACTGCAACTATTTGTATTGTTCTCCATATACTTGGAACCCATTGTCAGAGCGATATCAATTGGCATTCAGTCCAACATAAATTGACATGCCACGTACAGTGCATTCAGAAAGTATTCAGACCCCTTCCCTTTTTCCACATTTTGCTACGTTACAGCCTTATTCTAAAATGTATTGAATATGTTTTTTACTCATCAATCTACACACAATACCCCATAATGACAAAGAGAAAACAGGTTTTTAGAAATGTTTGCAAATGTATGAAAACAAAAACAGAAAAATCTTATTTACATAAGTATTCAGACCCTTTGCTTTGAGACTTAAAATTGAGCTCAGGTGCATCCTGTTTCCATTGATCATCCTTGAGATGTTTCTACAACTTGATTGGAGTCCACCTGTGGTAAATTCAATTGATAGGACATGATTTGGAAAGGCACACACCTGTCTATGTAAGGTCCCACCAGTTGACAGTGCATGTCAGAGCAAAAACCAAGCCATGAGGTCGAAGGAATTGTCCGTAGAGCTCAGACAGAGGATTGTGTTGAGGCACAGATCTGGGGAAGGGTACCAAAAAATGTCTGCAGCATTGAAGGTCCCCAAGAACACAGTGGCCTCCATCATTCTTAAATGGAAGAAGTTTGGAACCACCGAGACTCTTCCTAGAGCTGGCCAAACTGAGCAATCGGGGGAGAAGGGCCTTGGTCAGGGAGGTGACCAAGAACCCGATGGTCACTCTGGCAGAGCTTCAGAGTTCCTCTGTGGAGATGGGAGAACCTTCCAGAAGGACAACCATCTCTGCAGCACTTTATGGTAGAGTGGCCAGACGGAAGCCACTCCTCAGTAAAAGGCAAGATTCTCTGGTCTGATGAAACCAAGATTGAACTCTTTGGCCTGAATGCCAAGCGTCACGTCTGGAGGAAACCTGGCAGCATCATGCTGTGGGGATGATTTTTAGCGGCAGGGACTGGGAGACTAGTCAGGATCGAGGTAAAGATGAACGGAGCAAAGTACAGAGAGATCCTTGATGAAAACATCCTCCAGAGCGCTCAGGACTTCAGACTGGAGCAAAGGTTAATCTTCTAACAGGACAACAACCCTAAGCACACAGCCAAGACAACGCAGGAGCGGCTTCGGGACAAGTCTCTGAATGTCCTTGAGTGGCCCAGCCAGAGCCCAGACTTGAATCCGATCGTACATCTCTGGAGAGACCTGAAAATAGCTGTGCAGCGACACTCCCCATCCAACCTGATAGAGCTTGAGAGGATCTGCAGAGAAGAATAGGAGAAACTCCCCAAATACAGGTGTGCCAAGGTTGTAGCGTCATACCGAAGAAGACTTGAGGCTGTAATCGCTGCCAAAGGTGCTTCAACAAAGTACTGAGTAAAGGGTCTGAATACTTATGTAAATGTTATATTTCCGTTTTTTATGGAGTGTTGTGTGTAGATTGATGAGGGGAAAAAACAATTTAATCAATTTTAGAATAAGGCTGAAATGTAACAAAATGTAGAAAAAGTCAAGGGGTCTGAATACTTTCCGAATGCACTGTGTGTGTGTGTGTGAGAGGTACAGAGATCAAAGAGAGGGTGTGAGTAGTCGTGAGATAGGGATTCACTATAGCAAGTAGCCCTAGGTGTGAAAAAGTGACAGAATATCAAATTCTTATACAATAATAATCATTAAAAATATATATTTCAAGATGGCTTTATTATTGCTTTTCACAGGTCTTTCTTTTCTGTCAGTGCCTCTTCAACTATTATCAGTGTGCTGTCGATGGTACACTAGGCCTTATTATATTTTCAGGCCAGGACTGTAATACTGGAAGCATCTTCCCCACTCAGTCATTTCCCAAATCCCATTTGAGTATAGAGCCTTTTCTCCCCTGACACTTCTATAGGGGTATTGGGTATCTGGGTCTCAGAAAAGGTTGATACAGTACATTATCTGGTATCCATCTGATTTCCGGAGTCAACTAGTTTGAGTGTCTGAAATCATATCAGTATCAACAGCGTACCTGATATCCCATTCAGTCTAATCAAGCCTCAGTGTTAGTATTACAGTCTGCTATTTCAGGATGCTGGAACCGAGTCTTTCTTTTAAGCACTTCTTACTTCTCAGTCAGTCGTTCATAAGGGCCGTGTACTCCCTCTGGTGGAAATGGAGCGGCATAAACACAGAGTGCTTCTTCCTGTAAAATCTAAGAGAGAGAGAACAGAGTTCCTCCCGTCAGATACTTCAACATTCTAACAGTATTTGAACAACATTACAAGCTGACCTGATAGAGAATACACTTTCATAAACCAGTAGTGATAAATGTTTCCCATATTCAGGTTAATACATCATCGTATCTCAGCACAAGCCTC